ATCTGCCCCTTTCCCTCAACTGCATTCCTTTCTCTCTCTTAGTCAATCTCTTAGCCTTTTTTCGCTGTGAATTTACTTGACTGTTCCTTTATTTCTGTCGCTGTCTTCTTGCTTTGGTGACTGGGGCTGATTAGGTGGGGCTGAGCAGTTTTTGCCCCTCACGCTGTCAGTGGCCAAGGTCAATTATGGCCTTCCCTTTCAGAGCAGGGAGCCACTGATGTGGAGCGCCAGGCAGGGAGATGGAGTGGGAAGAAAATCAATCGTTTGGTGCCTCAAAAATGATTTGATTTGCAACTGGTGTGAAAGTGTGTGTTGTGTCTGAATCTCACTCTCCTTTTTCTTCTTCAATGTCACCCATATTTTTCCAAAATATTACTTTAATGTTGGTAGAATTATACAGCAAACCACTCTGAATTGAAGGATAATACTGACACAAACCTTTTTTCTGGGGCTTCGGCTGCTCCTTTAAAATGATCCCATAACAAGCTCCTCCTATTGAAGACATTACAATATAACAGGCTAAACATTATACATTGCCATGGCTTACATCAGATTCAGATCAGTGTGTATGTGCCATTTACATCAGACATTTACCATTTGATCATGAACAATATAAAACTTAAGGAAGAATGAAACTGAAGGGTGCTTAACAAGTAAAAAAAAAACAACAACTGACAGGTGGATATTGTTAGATTGTCATACCACATGTGGACGATGTGGAATTTGCATGCATCCCATGGGCTTTGATTTGTATGTATGGATACAACAGGCATACCCAGTTGACCTTGAGATGTTATCACCATATTAGTTATGACAAATGGAGTGCAGTGAGACCAAAACAGTAAAGCTGCGGGTCGTAAAACCAAAACAATGAATTGAAAGAGGTTAAAACACTCGTATAGGTTGAGAAAAGCGACCCCTTTCACAGTGCATGTAGTCATTTGAACCTATGGTAAAGGTCCAGTGTGTAACATTTAGGAGGCTCTATTGGCAGAAATGGAATATAATATTCATCGGTATTTTCTGTTAGTGTGTATGTATCACCTGAATATACAAATCTTTATGTTTTTGTTAGTATGAGCTGTTTATCTCAACAGGCGCCGGCGGTCGCCTTCCGTGGCGGCTGCCATTTTGAACCGCTGTGTTTCTACAGTAGCCTAGAAGACAGTACAGACAGTAGTTTGTTTGCATCTTTGTGGCAACATGTTATGGAAAGCCATCTGCTGGTTCAAAAGACATGCACAACATGATATGGGTGCAATATTTTGGTTGTCCACATACTTTTGGCCAAGTATTATATAGCTAGAGAAGTTGAAATTATTGCATATTTTAGATTATCAACAATTTCTGGTACATGAGTGAAACATTATTGAGGACAAATGACTGAACTGTGACTGTGGCAAGACAAAGGAGGAACATGATGAAAGCCTTCGGCTTGTCACTGACATTTGGCACACTTAAAACGCAGTCGACAAACAATGTGTCTGACATCGGCTGCCTTCACTGCTCTGATCTTCAAATCAAACTGATTATGGTGACTGGCAGTGCTACATTTTTGTTCAGCTTCAAGCACCATTCCACAAACAAACCACCTCCACTTGCTCTGCCTCCATAAACAAAGACAGACTTTTTGTGCGTCTATGTGAAGGCGTTTGATTAGCCACAATTATGGCCTTGGCACCAGCTTGTATGATTACTTTGACTCGAGGCTGTTTTTGTGTGTGCCGTTTAAGTAATCAGCGCTGGGCTAAACCTGGACTGGCATCAAAATGTTGTGTCTAATTACAGCAGCCAATCGACCTGCAGTGCAACTCACCTGACGAGGAAAAACTAGAATTAATTACCTAATTGAAGCAACTCAGGGAACCATGAAGGTAAAACTGTTTGCCTTCTAATCGGCTCAGCAACAGAGTTTGCTTCAGCATGAAAAGAGCATGTTTAAACATTCTCTCAAAGAACAAAGGTTATTTGGTTTCATTGAAGCGATGCAATGAAGACATTTGTTCTGGGTTGAAGAAATCACCCAAGTGAGTATTTTTATATTATACAATATATACAATTCTGTCACCTGTCCAGACAGGACACAGACTTTTCTTTCTGACAGCTTGAACATAATAAGCAGCCATTTGATAAGCTGCTGCTTGCTGCTGACACACAATAAATCTTAATGTGTACGACAAAATGAATAATGATGGGGTCGAGCCTGTGCATCGTCCAGAGGGAATGTTTATTTATTTCATATTAAACATGTCAGACAGCCTCGTGCTCAGGGTTTTTATCATGCTTCAGCCTGCAGTGTCTGGATTGTTCTGCTCAGCTGCTGTGACAGAATCAGCATTAATAGTTTTGATCCTAATCCCTACATTTGCCACTAGAATAGTCTGAAGTTAATTCTCTTGTGTAATGTAATCGCTGGCGAGACGGACCAACATCAGGATGTATGATTCCCCAACACATATCTCGCATAACAGTTCACCACTCTGAACTCTCAATGCCTGCACTTTTGACTGTTTCTCACTGTAATTGCAGTGTGAGTTTTTTTTTAACATCTCAACTGATTCTGTATACGCTCAGAAATGCCCACGAGTCCTCAATCAAGGATAGAGAGGACACTTAAAATATAGTCGGGTGCTTCTAAGGATGATTATGGTCATCCCAAGTGTCTCTCCGCTCCTTCCTGTACCCCTCTGCTTTCAGCTGAATGCTGTCGGATAAGCTCTGACAGGAGTAATTCACCAGGGGGGCTAATTACACCCTAATTGTGGCATAGTGTGACCTGTGTTAAAAACTGAGCATTTAGACCATAAATTATGTCCTGTGCAGCTACAGTATAGGACATTTATAGAGAGAAAGCCTCACTATAGTAACTATAAAATATAATTTAACATGGAAACGTTACTGAGAAGTATTATTGAGGATTCAAAAATTGTAAGGTTTTTCTTTAGGGATGGCAATGTCAGTCAGTCGCTCCACCATGGATTGTGATGAAATTTAACACAGACATTCCTGATCCCCAGAAGAGTCCTACTGACTTAGGTAGTCCTCTGACTTGTCCCCTAGCACCACCATGAGGTTGTTGTTTTTTGGTTTTTAAGGAAGTGTCTTGGCAGCTACTTGATAAATTGCTATTCAAATTTGTTTTATTCATTGCACCCAGTAGGGCTGTGTGTTGACCAGAATCTGGCAATACGATACGTATCACAATACAGGGGTTACAATTTAATATATTGTGATATATTACGATGCTGAAAACAAGGCAATATTGTGTATAGTTTGTTTATATTGTCATATAAAGAACACACTACCATATGCATAAAATCAATGGGATCGGCATTTGTATTTATCCCAGTCCATGAAACATTATAGCTCTCAGATTATGTTTACAATACTGCTATCTTAGCAGGGGGTTCCAACACAAAAACCAAGAAAGTGTTGTGATACTGTGTATTGATATATTCTTACACCCCAAGTGCCCAGAGGATGAACTTGACTCTGGTGATCTGTTCCTTTCCATCTTGTGCCATCAACAGGTCAAAGTTTTTACTTATCCAGTTAAATATTTGGATATCTATTTGATGGACTAGAACAAAATTTAGTACAGACATTCATGTCCCTTTTGGGATGAATTGTGAGAACTTTGGGGATCCCTCAACTTATCATCTCATTTTGAGTTATGACCAAATACCTGCAAAACTAACGACACTGGCCTCAAGTGAAGTTTGCCAATTATCAAATGTGAACATGGTAAACATTATACTTTATATCAGCATGTCAACAATGTGAGCATGTTAGTAAAGCAACGCTGTGCTTGTCCAGCCCCATAGAGCCGTAAAGTCATGTCAGTTTATGGATATCATTGATATCAGTTTTAAGAAATCTACACACAGGCTGCATCCATATTTTTGTATGATCTTATTTCACATTTGCCCATGTCTTTCAAACACAGCTGAATCAAAGAGGCATACTTTTTTAAACTGTTGCTTACTTTAGGTCCCTCAAGGATCTTCTTAGAGACTCCAGAGTCTGGCATTGAAGACCAGGGCAGTATGGGATGTATCAGAAGATTTTTACTTTGTCAGTTGTTCTTTGAGCCAGCTCAGTGTGAATCACCCACAACAGATGTGGCGAAACTCTCCATTGTGATGAGTGCGCTTTGATTAATACACCCCGATGAATGCCTTTATTTTTAGCCTGGCAGGGCGGACAATGTGGAAACGGTTTTTATTACCCTTCTGGTCGGAGATGAATGGGCAACAGCAGAGAGAGATGTGGTGCCTCGGTGTTCATTCGTCATTGCCAGATTGAGGTGTAAAGGATGAAGGAGTCACTTGATTAGTTCTATCATTATTCCTTCAGAAGACAGTCATAGACAAATTGCTAATAGAAGACATAGTATTTGGGAAGAATGATTCCCTTTGGGTTTTAACAAATAGAAAAAAATTGAAGAACAAGCCAGGAGTGTATGGATAGACATCTGGGGGAAAAGAAAGTGCTGATATTTCCAGTGCTGAGGTGCTGGGGTCAATGCCTAACAATATATACTTTCTGCCAGGAACATGGGCTAATTGACTAAACGAGTGCTCCTACATCTGATGTCAAGGTTAAGGCCAAGGAGAGAATGAGAGTTGCATTTCATCAGAGCAGGTCATTAGGCTCGGCTTGAATCAGAGCTGATAATAGCGGGAGAGACTCTGCAGCGCTCATCTTTTTCACGACAGGTGGAAGTATGAAGTCCATTTCACCTGGCGAGGCAGTGTCTGTGCCCGCCGTAACATTATTCTATACATTGTGAGCGTGGCATAAAATTGCCAATTCTCCTGGTGACCTCCATAAAAGTTATAATATCAATTATGAATCTGTTTCATTCTCTACCATGAATTATTCATTTCAGTCCACTAGAATGTCTTCCACATGTTATTCAATGTGAAATCGGTGTATTGTTTTTGGCTTGAAAGACCCTGTTTTTATAATCTGTGTGGTGCTTGTGTCTGTCTCTGCAGGAACTCTTTACAGCGGAGTGCAAGTTCAAAGAGTCGGTGTTTGAGAACTACTATGTGATCTACTCGTCCATGTTGTACAGACAACAGGAGTCGGGGAGAGCTTGGTTCCTAGGGCTCAATAAAGAGGGCCAAGCTATGAAGGGGAACCGAGTGAAAAAAACAAAACCAGCTGCTCACTTCCTGCCCAAGCCATTAGAAGGTATGTACTGTATATAGACACTCAACTGCTCAACTAAGACTAAAAGTCTGGGAATTTATCATTGTTCATTTTCATTATATAAAGATAGGTGTGGTGATATTCTATGTTTTTCCTTGAAACTGAACAATTTCCATTAAAGGACCGAAACTAACAATTAATTGAATCACTATCAATTATAATCTGTGTACCCAAAGCCTGATATATCTTATGCCTCTGTGACATACTTCCAAAAACTGTGCAAACTCATCAATAAACCACACCGTTGTATGATGAACATGGCCTGTATTTTTTATCAATCCCATATACACCATCCTGCTGCCATAAATACTTACTAGAGCACCAAATGTTATTAATATATGTTATTATATATAATTAGTCCACAGGTGAAAATAGTTGCTGACAAATGTGCTGCTACTACTGTTTGAGTATCATTCTCTGAAAGCTACAGAGCTCAGCTGTTTTAGGAAAGTTTAAATTCGTGACCTTGCTTTTTTTTTAAGATTTCTGTCCTCAGTAGGAGCCAGTGGCCTTGGGGCTGAGAGCCAGAGACTGGCTGCGGAAGTTGGAGCGAATCGAGAGATGTACTAAAACATTGGAGATTTGTTGACATTAAGAAAAATAATCGCCTTAAGGGTCAGATAACATCGTTTAAAGGGTCAGATCACATCCAAATCACAAAATAACTTATTTTCTCAGTTTCACTTTTATGTGCAGACATTTTTGACATATCCACCTCTGAAAGTTGTTCTAGGTGAACAACATTTTGTGAAGCAGGACTCTCAGAGATGGATTTCTCTTATTTCAGGCAAACAAAAGTGAAGCTGAATCTAGCAGTTTCCACTTGCCGTAGGGATTTAAAAAAGAATTCTATGTTTTGGGTGAGCTGACCTTTATAAAAAAAAGAAAAAAAAAGAAGAAGGGATTGAGAGTTAGATTTAAAAAATCATAACACAAAGAATTGTGGTGTAAAACGCAGCTTTCTGTTTTGTTTTTACTTATTTAAAGGGACTCAAGGGGCATAATTAGCATTTCCTCCCCATTTTCTCTTCACTTTTTACCACCGGAAGCGGTTTTTCAGCTGTCAACATGGCAAGAGACCTTGTTACTGTAAATGATGGCATCTTTTTGCAGCAGCAAACATAACATTTAGAAGGACACATAAATAAATCTGAATATATTTGGGTCAAAAACAACTGACAACAACGAGGCATGACTTGCCTTGTTATACTACAGGGCAGATGTCCAACACTATAAGACATGATCCTATCCTTAGTAGAGGTAAAACTATGAGAAATATCTGTTTGACATATTTTTGAATTCATGTGCTGATTCAATATTTGCTGCTGTAAGCAGACAGTGTAGGAGGCAGGACAGCTCTGTAAGTGCAATATGAAATGTTGATAGTCCAGCAGATGCCACCTTCACTCTCGTCAGCCACCAGCCTGATTGCTTCCCCTCAGTTAAACATGGAATCAAGTTGAAGTGTCCTGTCAAGACAGTAATACAGCTGTAGTCTAGTGGCTGTAAAGTGGAGGATAATGAGACACTTTTTTTGCTGTTTTGTTGAAATGTATGTGCTTAGATTCAGAATCAGCCCTGAAGGTGACAGAAGCAAGTCGGGATGGTATCATGAAGCCCATGGGCAAAAAAATGTATCAGCTTTTTTTTCCATCTGTAAATTGCCGCATGTCTTTATTATAGGTTCGGAGAGATTTCGTCTGTATGAAAACTCTTCAAAAAAAGAAGCAACACCATGTAGTGTTAGGGGACATATGCGCCTCAAATACTTTTAGACAGGTCAACTCAAAAGTATGGAAGAAAGGGTTCTTGCTAACAGCTTTTCCCTTGTCTCTCTGCTTTCTTTCCTGATCGTCTGCTCCTCCAGTCGCCATGTACAGAGAGCCATCGTTGCATGATGTTGGAGAGACGGTGCCCAAGGCAGCGGTACCTCCCAGTAAAAGCACAAGTGAGCCGGCGGTGATGAACGGAGGTAAACCTGTTAGCAAGCCCGACAAGCCCGCCACATAGCCACACCTGACCAGTGCCCAGTGTGTGTGTGTGTGTGTGGAGGGGGGGGCAGAGGCAGGGTTTCCCCTCCCCGACTAGACTCCAGACCTTCTTTCTTCTGCGGATCAGATCCAGGCGAAACCTCCCTCCTTTCCTTTCTTCTCTCGCTCCTCCTTCCTCTTCCTCTGCCTCGTCCTCCCTTTTTTCTCCAGCTGTCTCAACACGGACGGATGGATTCTGCGGTGGCTGAGTTTCCCCAGCACAGGAGGGAAGAGGACCTCTGATCAATGGAATGCCTTCAGATTCCTCTGTAACTGTGAGAATTCATGTGAATAACAACGCGTGTTTCACGACCATGCTCGTGGTACTTTGCTTGCTGATGGTTCATTCAAGAAACCCTTCCCCTCTCTATAATGCCCTGTTGCAGCAGAGTCTGTGTACCTTCAGATCTATTTTCTATACCACAGTTCACCAGCTATGTTCTGGGATAGAGACTGTATAGATAGAGTAAATATTTGGACTGTCGTCCTCTATTTTTTACGAGTATGTTCCCTTCTCCCTCTCTTTCTATCTCTAGTCACACACTTTTCTCTTTGTCAAGTTACGTAGAAAAGATAAAAACATTTTGCAAGGCAGTTGTGTGATTTTCTAAGAAACACATTCACACAGATGGGGCATAAAAAACAAGCATATATATAATAAAAAAACAATCCAAATTTTCATCTTGCCTACAACATGCACACACATTTAGAGACAGACATACAAAGTTTGTGGGGGAAAATCAGAGATGTTGCTTTTTACAGCTGATACAAAAACACACTGCAGGCTGGCAGATAGCTCCTGCAATCATAGTTGATGAAGTGCTAATTACCGCCACTGCAATCAATGCGAGGAGCTCCCCACACACATACAAACACACACACACATTTATAAACAGATGTGTGTGTGGGTGGGAGAGAGCGCTGTAAGGAATGGTGTATACATATCACTATCAAGTCCCACCAGCGGTTCAGTCCGCCTTCTCTGGTAAATAGAAAAACCTGAAGTCTATTTTTCTTTAATCTTATTTCCGAGCGTGGGCTCTAGGAATATCTCTAGGCCTTGTAGGCCTCTGTCCCTCACTCACTGACTTCTTTGGACTACGAGACAAGGCTTGTGGCTTTGACCCAGATGGTCTATAACTGCAGCACTGGCAGCCATCTTATGGCAGTGTCTACTTAAAGCCAGAAAACAACATGGCTGAAAACCAGTAGGCGACATTTATACTGGCTGCATCCCTATTTGGTTCGGCAAACTAAAGCATGGGCAAGATTAATATTGTGTTCTCTCTTCTTGCAGCAGTTATACAAGAGATGGCTTGTATTGTAACATTTTCACTGTATAAAACTTAGGGAAAATGACTATTAAAAATCATAACTTTTTAAATGACTAGATATTATTATTATTATTATTATTATTATTATTATGAGAGGATTTGTCTCCTAGCTCAGCATGCAGAGTCCAGTACTGATCATCTTGGCCTATCACGTGCCTGTTTGGACCTTGATTCCCGGCATGCAAAAACAGGTTCCCAGTCCCCACTGGGCCAAAGGTGCCTCACCCACCCGATACATCCATGTAGAGGACACGTAGCATTATACATTGAAAAACCACACTCAGATGTATTCATTCTGAAATGACCAAAGTCTTTTTTCATCCCAAGAAGAACTGATTCTTTTAAAAAAAAAAAGAAAACAAATCCTGATTCTCTTTTTGATTGTGATCCATCGAAGCTTTCACTGTGATAGCATTTGTTCTGTCCGAAAGAATCAACTCCGCTCAGACCCCCCAAAAGGTCTTGACTGATGTCATTTTGGAGAAGTACGTATACCTTGAATTAATCACATGCATGTATTTTCTATAAGGAACAAGGTATGGGTATCGTTCTTCACTCTGTGTAAGCCGAAGAGCACTGAAGTTGGGTGTGGGAGTCGAATGGGCATGTTGTAGGCTACAGCACACTCACAGCTAATCTGAAGGTAACCCACTGCACTTTCTGTTTTGCATTCTCATCATGACTGTTAGCAGTTTATCAAAGCTCTACCTGATCAATCAATCTATAACGTTTGTCTTGCTTTAATGGTTTTTTCCCAATAGTTTTGTTAGATAAGTTTAGAATATTAAACACATTGTTGCTGCTGTGTGCTGCTAAAACTGCGACTATATTAAGAAATTGATTTGGTAAATATGATTTGTAGTTTATTGGGATTACACATGACCATTTCTTATTACAGAACATCAAAGCACATTAGTTAGAATTCAATTTTTGTCTGTACAAAGCTGTTAATGCTATAACAAAAATGGCATACTACACACACACACACACACACACACACACACACACACACACACACCTACACAAACACACACACACACACACACACACACACACACACACACACACACACACACACACACACACACACACACACACACACAGGAGCTGGAAACCACTGTAGTTGTATTTGGGGGCTGATGTTCTGTCCTCATTACAGCCAATCATCCTCCACCTCTTACAAACTCTACATGCTGGGCTGGTTGCTGCTCCAGCCCTGCAGTCCAGTTAACTGGCTCCTCCAAGGCTGACTTTATTTTTGTAAATGACCGGTGTGTAAATGTACATCTCTGTTTTGATCTCTGTATCCAACGTTTTTTTGTTTTTTTTTGTTGTTGGTTTGTTTGTCTTCATTTTCTCTTGTATACGGGTCGCCTGTGATGTCGTCTCCTGATCCCGATCACTTATGCTTTGTTCCCCCTCTCTTCAGATGTGTTACAAGAATATCCTAGCAAACTTAGTTTCTCTGTTGCTTCTGTTTTCAACCTCTTATTTTGTACGTTGTCCCATCTGTTGCATGGGGAGAGGATGGCATTGATGAACTGCATGTAGTAGGCTATGTCTATCAAGAACTGTTGGTATGTACCGCTAATTTTACATACATATATGCAACGAGTTTGTCTACACTATACAGTTTGTGTTTGTTGTATACACATATACAACATATTGAATAAAATATTTATATAAGGGTGTACTGTAATGTCAGTAACATACTTAATGCAATATAGTGTGCAGTATATTATTGCACCTGTCATTTTTGATGGGACAAAGAAAACGGAGGGGGTTGGCTAGTTTAAGCATGAAAAAGGCCAAAGTAGAATTTACATTAAATTTTTTCTTTGTGACTTCTTATCTGTCCTCTTTTCAAGTGGTGACTGAGCTCTTGTGTCAATGCAGCTCTCATCCCCTGTCGCCACCTTTTGAAGTGACATGGACATCCAGCATGCCACAATTGAACTATGTATGCCCTTCTCTTTGTTTCCTCCGCTTAGAATTTAACCTTATCACTAGTATGAGTTAGGAGTGAGAAATGTCTATCGCGTAGTGTACCACCAGTACAGTGTGGCTTTCATGACGGATTGTTTGGTTTGAGTTCCCGATTGAGAAGAATAGGCACTATTAAAATGATTTATTTTCAAAAAAATATATATACCATTGCAAGTATGCCCATTGAAGTTATGTCATGTTATAACAAATTTGTAACCATGTATGATTAAGGTCTTCGCATTGTTTTCCATGCAAACTGTTGTGTCATGCGGCACATTTAATGTTTTATTATTAAAAAGAAATAAAAACCTCAAACAGTAATCTCTGTCTTGAGCTTTCGAGTGAACTTTCAGTCCAATTTGGGAGCAACGCACCACTTACAGTTAAAAACAGATGTACTTTATCCTCTGCAGTATTGCACATATTGCAACCTTAATAATCCTTCTCTTTTCAACATTTAGATTTGTCATGTCACCTGCATCCTATTATGTGTAGCCATCTGGAGTATGTAAGCGTTCCTACATTATAACAACAACAAAAAAAAGATACATAAAGCTGTTCTGGAAACAAATGTTTACATGTTATTATGTTTATGTTTCTTTTACACCTACAACACCCAGTTTTATAAGGATAATTTGTAGCCGGTACAATAAAAGAATGAATGCTGTTAATGATATGCAGAATTACATCCATGTTTAGCTTGGTCTTCTCCCTCCTCCCGTGGTTCTCCAGGCTGTGATGTTTCTACAGCCCGGGTGGTGACCATCGGTGGTGCTCTGGTCGCTCCGGGCAGCCAGTCTCTAACACCAGTGTCCTCTCCTCCTTAGTACTCTGCTCCCACCCAGATTTCGCAAGCGTTCCCTGTCCAGCCGTCCCAGCACTCACAATTGCCACAATTGCACAACCCATTCCCTATGAGGAGATGTGAGAAGAAAAGCTGTGAATTAAGAGCTGTGGCATCATGCCTGACCTTTAACAAGGTTCCTCTTTTCACACCCTGCTTCCCTGGGTGCAGCTCAGACGGGGGGGTGGAGGGTGGAGGCTGACTAAACTGCTCAGGACAGTTTTCCACTGCTTTTGCCCACACAGCAGAGGAGAAAACTTTGGTTTAATTAAGAGGGAAAAGCCTTCATACTTTAGTCACCACATTTGTTCAAAGCTCATATATAGCTAAATCTGATAGTCTTTATTTATTAAACTGTAGTGTGATACAATAAAGTCTGACAGTCCTCTGGCTTCTGACAACCCTTGTTTGTTTTAAGTCCAGTAGCAAAGGATGAAATATTGCTGTCAGGAGTCTCAGACAGGAGTTTGGGTGGGGGGCGGAGGAGTGAAATACAACTGACTTCAACACAAGAGACTGGGGCCTCATTTATAAAAATGTTCTTGGATATATACTTGAAATTAGTCTTAAGAGTATTTCTGACTGTGCTTACATTTGATTCATAAAAGATACTGAGCAGAAAAAAACCTTTCTTAAGAAGCCCATTTGTAACTAACGCACCTGTGATCTATAAATCTTAAATTATCTTAAAAGCAACGGTACTTATATAATGCTTGCGCAAATGAGGATTTAGTCAGGAATAGCCATGGACCAAAACGCACATGTGATAGACAGTGAATTAACAGTACAGCGTACGTCTGATCCACCAACCCTTATCACCAAGCACTTATTTCAGTGAGAAATCTTGATTCCTGAGACTCTTATTCCAACAGTTTTCTCCCACTAAGTGCAGCTAACCATCTGAAGCAGGCGAGTTGACATGACTACATGTAAAGTTTGTACGGAAATACAGTTTATTTTCATGCATTTTACTGATGTCGAATTGACAAGACCGTCAACGCATGACACACTTTAACTTGTGTTTCTAGAGTTATGTGTTTCTCCTGTCACTTAAGGAATTGTTAATGTGTCATATTTCTTAAAGGGAGTTTGGTGTGATATTTTCCCATGAGAGCACAGGGAGCTTTTCGAACTTCTTTGTATATTTTTATACATTTATATTTAACATTTTGTCACTGTTACAGACAAAGTATGATAAGGCATCTGACGTTAACTGCTGACTGCATGGTTTAATAATGTGTTTGGGCATTTATTACTGATGGTGCTGATCAAGCTAATTATCATCTAATTGTACTCAGTTTCTAATGACAGCATGCAATAAGCGGTTGCCCTTTGTCTGCATTTATCTGTCACTCACTGCTGAAAGTACAGAAAACAATGAAAAACTAATATTTTTATATATAATAGTGTAATAAACTGAGCTTTAAAAAAGAAATAGCAGGTCTATTGGTCATGATTGAAGGTTTATATTGCAGGAAATGGTACTTTCAGGTGGTCATTAAATGAAAAGTTTCCTGCAATAATTTTGCATCCCCATTATTGTTCACCACAGGCTTGGGCGCATATGTGTCCCAAACTGCTTGTTTGTTTTATAAATGTATCTTTCTCTAATCTTAACTATGTAGCTTAAGCAACCTCGGTTGGGACCAATAGGGGCCGGATCAGCATCACGATCGCAGTGGGGGTTTTCCACCCATAAGTCCAGTCGCCTCAAGCCCGTCACAAGCTCCCTGAGTTGTCAGACAGAAGATGCTGAGGTTAGGAGGACTCCTCCTGCTGGCCTCCTGTCACACAGCTGGAAAGACATCTCCACTGCAAAACATCACTTTGGGAGAGGAGGGAGCAGTGTGAGGAGGCAAAAGGGGCGATGGATGGTGAGGAAGATTTAAACAAAAAAGGGGAAAAAACCGAAGTCAGCAGAGATGGGTAAGTAAGTGAGAAAATAAAAGTGAGGTAGGAAAGCAATAATGTCACATAAAGGGACTGAGCTTGAGGAGCCAACGCGTGGTTTCTAAATGAAATGGCTGAGCTGCTTGTTGATCTACTGAATTCAGGTTGCAGACTAGACAGACCTTCCTCTGAAGGATAAAGGATAAGACCGCTTTACTCTTTTTATTGTCAATAAATCCCATGAAAAGACCAAAACCACCAATGCCTTAGTCTGTCTCTTAAAACTTCCTTACTGCACCCGAACACAAGCCCATTATTCTTCTACATCTTTTTTTTTATATACAGTTTAATTTTTTTAAATGCTGGCTAACATTTAACAAATGTTACACAAACACAAGTAAACTGTTAATTTGTTTGGTACTATTTTCATCCGTGGATACATTTTTTTTTTTGTATTTACGGACAGTTTTGTAATGTAACTGAGCACATTTACTAATTTACTGTAAAGTACAATTACAAGGTGATTATTTCAATTATATGCTATTTGATACTTATATTTCACTACATTTTCAGAGGGAAATATTGTACTTTCTACTTAATTTATTTGGTAGCTATAGTTCTGCTTACTTAACAGATTCAGGTAACAAGACGTGATCAGCTTATAAAATCTGATGCATTATTATAAACCGAACAGCATATAAAGTAGTTAATCATAGTTTCCCCTCCACCAGCTAAAGTACACAACAAAAGCTGTTTAGAGAGAGATCAATAATAATGATCTATAACAATCTATAATAATCAGTTCATTGTCCGTTTTGGTGTTTTCATGAGAGCTCAATATAATCACCCATATTATCATTGGAGTGTGAGGATCTGTGTTCTTGGTTAATGTTCTTCTGAGTGTAAACCTCAACATTTGGAGAAACAATGCTTGGTTTAAATGAGAATTCACTTTTTCATGTTACTGTATTGCTAATAATAAAACCTTTCAGGTGATTGTAATAGTTCTGATAGAAAAATGATTTCTACAAATTGATTAACATGCTCCTGATAAACAATTAGATGAGTTGGATGGTGAAAATGTTGTAATCTATTTGCTTTTACACTTTACGACCTGTGTTGCAGACAGACAAACAGACCTTTTTGTCTCTTTTCTGAAACGGTTGCTGAAATTATCATATTCAGTGCATGAAATTAACCAGCAAGCATTCCTAATACGCTGAATTTGCCACATCACTCATCAGTTGTATGTGTAATGAGAATCTACAGCTTTGAAGGGTCCATGAAATCTGCAGATGCAAAGTAATTTATCGGCAAACTTGCCAAAACGAATTTTTGCATCATCAAGGTGGAAAAAATGACTCCATCATTGCTACCTGGCGAAGCAGTGACTGCTCTTACCTGTATATTCATACATTGCCTTTTCATGTAAGACACCATTAGATTACTAATTCTCATGTATATGGTAATTTTCTCCAGTCTGTAATATGGTAATCTTTGTTTTCCTCCCAGTTTTCCACAATTTTTAAGCAATGTGTCTGCATCTGGAACCACTGAGACTCATTTGAATGACATTAAGGCTGACATTTAGAGTCATGGAGTCATGATGAAAAACACTTGTGAACAGCTGTCCAGATTTTGACAGGCCTCGGGGCAAAATAATTCTAAACATGAACTGAGATTTCCATTATCAGTGGGGAGAATATGGCTCCTGTGGATAAACGGCTATAGAGAGAAAACTGTATGTTTGTGTGTGTCTCAGTTAATTTTCCTGTTCTCTGACTCACAACCCTAGCCATTCACATTAGTGGGATCGGTACAAAATCTTTCAAAACATACTGTTGTTGCTGGTTGATGTGGGGCTAATTTTAGCTGCTTACAATACTTATGGGGAGTGTAATCTGTAATAACACATCATTTGTTATAAATTGATCACGTTTTATTATGTAAAGTCTGAATGTGGAAAACTACTACAGTTGTGTTTATATCTGTCTACAAAATGTAGTACAAGTGTAAAGTTGCTTAAACCTAAAAGTAAAAGCAGCAAAAAATTGTACTCAAGTTAAGTAAGTAAATACTCTTAGTTACTTTCCACTACTGCTATTTAATGACAATCCACTTAATACTTAATAAGGTATTTGTCCTTTACTTGAGTACTTCCATTGTATGCTACTTTATAGGCTACTTCTATTTCACTACATTTCAGAGAGAAATATTGTACTTGTGATTACTTTGCAGCTTCAGGTTTTACAGAGCACGTAATCAGTCTAACAGATCTAATACATTGTTATAAAGTGAGCAGCATATCCAGCCAGTCCAGTCTACCAACTGCACCAGGAAAAGGCTGCTGAGAGAGTAATCCATCACAGCCTAGTTTTAGTGCTGTTGAATATCAGTCATCCCTGTAGAAACATTGGCATAACTGTCTGTGAATTTGATTCACACAGAGGAAATTGGTTAGAATGTTATTCATCCTTTGTCTATCTGTCCCCCAGTTGGCTACAGTAGATGTAAGCAGATGAAAATAGAATTCTCTTCAATTTCTATAAATAAGTCTTTGAAGCATGTACACAAATGACTTTACATTTGTTTTTAGGACATTAGTATTATATGGTTGTTCTCAACTGCAGCTGTTTGTTGGCTGGGTCAATTTAATTTTTGATTTCTTGAACATTCATTTGCGCAGGTTGGGTTTGGGTTTAATCCATTTTGGACCCATAAAGACTTCCAGTGTGTGTTTGTTTCCGACTCTACCTGTGCAGATGAGGCCGTCATGTTTGTCACACTCCCGGTCGTCACACTCGCAGTACTCTCCAGACACCCACCAGTCTTGGGGAGAGCAGATACACTGGCCACAGTGGCAGGAACCTGCAAAACACACACTTAATTAACATCATATTTTCCTCAAGTAACACTTTGACAGTGTATATTTTGTATTTCTTTTTAACACCACCCCCTTGTGTTTTTTTTCCATAAATACTGTTTGTATTATTTCCTGTAAATTCTTTAATTTACACAGAAGATTAATAGTGTTGGGCAGAGTGGATATGAGATATTCCCTGAGGAAACAGCTACTAATATACTTTTGCCACCAGGAAACCAATCCACCCACACTTTAAACTTCCTCTCTTCCCCGCCAGTGTCTCTGTTTCTCTTTCTGAAGGGCAGTGGCAAGATAATAAGGTATTAAGGATTGGCAGAGGAAAACAAATCTACTGCTGTCTGCTTCATTTTTTTCCCCAATGCTCACAGCCAGAGGTCCAACAACTGTGTTTTCAATCTCGCCCAATTTCTATCAACATACTCAGGGTTACAGGAACCCACTATGAGGGATGGAGGCAGACAAAACAGGAGAGAAAGTGAAACATAAGAGAGAGGTGAGACAAGGGGAGGAGCTGAGGGAAAGATTGTTCTGGTATCCGAATGTAGTGGAGCGTGGAGAATGAACATGCTCATCTTCATTTTCACACCCAGCTCGGCTCTTCAGGGGTGGACCCACTGCAGTCGGTCTATTTCTGTGGATTCGACGCTACGCAACAGAGAAAGAATCCTGTTGTGTGGTGTCATTTGCCACCTAATGATACATACAATGTAATGACAATGTACAGAACTTCATTACAAACAAATACGGTTGGCAGGCAGATACACAGGGGTGCAACTATGTATCGATTGATTGATCTATAAAAAAGTCTATAAAATGTTGATGTTATTACACCAACAGTCATAAATGGTAAAGATATTCAATAAACAATTATATAAAACAGAGAAAAGCAGAATATTGTCACATTTGGGAAGCTGAAACCAATTACTGTTTGGCCTTTCTGCGTGATACATGACCAGTAACTTATATGAACATTTGTTGATTGACTCCCTATCAATCGATACTAGCTGTTAATCTAGTAATAGTTTAATCTCTGCAGGAGGCTATCTGGGTTTGTACTAAATTACTTCAGATTAATGCATATTCCCATTATCCCATTTTGGAATATACTGCAGCTGAAGTGTGTTATGTACTGGTTCTTGTATAACATGTTCCTGTCTTGTTAAACTGTGTATTTCAACATTAAAGGGAGCTAGAAGTAAATCTCATCCAGATTATTGCTTTAATCATTAAAGGACAAGGTATTAACCTGTGACAGAGCAACACAATTGAAGGTTCAGAGTGGAAATGTGATGTTAATCTTGGAAGATCTGCTGTAAAGCATTGCTATCAGTTAAATTACTTGGTACAATATTTCACTGTAAAACTATGACAATATAGCAGAGACAGAGTTGTTTCCTTCCAATATGTGATATAGTGTATAGACAATTTGGTCTGATTGGGTTAGCGATGGGGTCCCAAGACTGTTTGGGATCATGATAGAACATCTTTCATCCATCATTTTGAGCACTAGTCAAGAAAGAAAGTGAGACAAAACTTGTAATCCAGAGTTTGTTAAAATTGTGAAAGAGCTGAATTAAAACCGTGCAGGTTAATGGGAAGGGGAAAGTTCTAGAAATTGCAACTGATTCTGTGATCCTTAGGCAGAGAACAACTAATGTTATTCTACATAGAAAGGACATAAAAAGGGACATAAAACCTCTAAAGAAAACACTGAAATAAAATCATAAAAATGCCCCAGCTTCTAAACCTGGAGCGCCTTGTTGTTGTTTTCTGTTCTCTTTCTTCTAACTCTCTCCTGCAACTGTAACAGACGTCATTAAGAATTAATTCAGAATCTCAGTGGAAGATGATTGGCCCTCAACAAATGTTAATGATCAACATCTTTTGAAAAAGGGTCTCCTGGTGTAACAGCTTGAGCGTCAAAGTTCACCCATTTATTTTGTATTTTTACATATTATCTCAACTTTATTATAGAGTTGACCGGTTAAACCTTTGATAAATGTATCCGCACATATGGTATTTCCAATCTGTTCTCTTTGAAATGATAATTATGTATTGTCAGTGTGTAAATACTGTATATGTGCAAGTATGTGTTAGTCTAACACTTTAACCAAAAAAAAAGTGGTGAAAAGAAAGTACTCAAGCACTGTATTGTACTTACTGTTGGTATAAATTTGAGGTACCTGTTACCTGTACTTTATACTTCTACTTCCCTACAATTCAGAGGGAAATATTGTAATTTTTACTCTACTATAGTTATTTTGCATTTTAAAAGTACTAGTTCAGATCAGAATCAGAACCAGAATCAGAATCAGAAATACTTCTGACGAGCTAATACAATTTGATGTACTGTTGTAAATTAAACTATCCATCAGTGTATAAAGTAGCTAAAATTTGCACACTAAATGCTAGTTACATATAATGCATTGTAATAATATCCAAATTCCATAAGATTTTCTGCATTTACTTTTACTTTTGCTTCTTCAAGTACATGTTTCTTACAATACTTCCATACTTTTACTTCAGTAACATTTTCAATGACGTTGACTTGTATTGAGTATTTCACAGTGTGGTATTGCTATTTTTACTAAGTACTAAGTAAATAATCGGAAAATTTCTTCCACCACTTTTTAAGGAAACTTTTTAAAGATTGAAAAACAGATTGTTCACCTTTTCCACTGCACATGACTCCGTCGGAGGTCTCACAAAGCTCCTTGCTCTGGGCGTCGCTCATGTCACAAGACCTGGGGAACTGGCACAGCTTCCCGAACCAGCCCTCCTCGCAGATGCAGCGTCCACATGAACAGTAGCCGTGACCTGGCGGTGGAGGGCAGAAGGGCCTTTATTTAAAGGAGACAGAATGTGGAGCATGGCCATGAGAAAATAGCCCACATAGAAGAAAAGAACTGATAAATAAAGCATTCAAAGATAGCGTGAAAAGTCAAGAGCAATGCCACTGGAAAGCGAAAGGAAAGCAATAAAGCATATAAACACAGAAAGTTGACAGTGCAGACATTGACAGTAATAGGCAGTACAAGGAGACAGAGCCACAGGAAGACAAGAGACGCAGCAGGCTTATTGTATTTCCCCTGGGGACATGAAAGGAACTGTCATCACTGGTCTTGTCCTGTCCTTAATAAATCTCCAGCACTTCAGAGAGAGATGAAAAACAAAGAAAGGCAATGGCAGACAAAAGCTCACAAACATGCACACACAAACACACAAGAAACCAGGGACGTTTAATTGGTTGAAAGAGGCAGTTGGGTGTTGAGATGCCTTAATAGCCGACGGCATCACTGTGCTTTTAACAAGCACATGTACACACACAGACACACTCTCATTCACGTATGCCCTCCTTCATCTCCAACAGAACCCTCGGATCACTTGCAATGTGTTTATTTCAATACAAATCACATCACGTAGAGGCAGTTGCGTCATTGATTGATTCCTTTATGTTCACATCTGGTCACAGATGCCAGGTTGAAGAGGTGGTAATGAGCAGAGCATTTTTCCATCATTTTCTTCATCGTAAATCCATACTGTGCAGCTGGAAATTACTGGACGTCAAGCTATATTGATTCAATCAATCAGCGGCTCAATTCAGAGTTGAGTTGGAGTTTTGTGATCCATATATCTTACAGCCGTTTAAAAAATAAAAAATATTTTCCTGATAGATGCAGCTTTATACTGATGAAAAATAGGTATCAAAGTTTTTTTGAGGAATATATTTAACATTAGATATTCGCTGTCTTGCCAAGAGTTAGATTAAATAATTGATATTCTCATATTTGTATGCTAAGTATGTATGCTAAGTCAATTAGCATAGCCCAACATAAATGCTAGAAACAGGGGAAGCCTGGTTCTGCATTCTAAAGACGCCTGTCCCATTGCCTACCAATACCTCTAAAGTCCACACTAATTAACATGGAGTCTAACCTGGAGTCTTTTTGCAATCAACAGAGACTCCTGGAAGTGAGGCCAAGACAAAAAACACAACTTTTGGTTTTTACACTTTAGTTATTGTACAAATTAAACAAACAAGATATAACATGTTGATACTGGTGTTTCTCTGAGTAAATGATTCAGGAAGAATTCAAATCTTCAGTATCTTGAGGGACATATCTTGCACAGAATATAGCTAAATACCAACTAAACAAACTTTAAGGCAATGGATTGTTTATCCAGCTTTAGATAATACATCAATATTGGCTGTCTCCGCTTACTATCTCTCAATCTCTATCACCCGCCCCACCTCACCTCGTTTCCTGATCCTGAATCAATCAGAGGTACAGGTGGGGGGTGGTGTATCAAAGATGTGCGTGTGTGGTGGTGGTGCTGGTGGGAGGATATAAATGAAAGTTAGCTATAGCTTCTGTCTAAGCTAGAGTGGAGTGGCAGCTATGGCAGGCCACGCATGGCTGCCTCAATCAGCCAGCCTGGGAGAGCGGTTAATTGCTTTGGAGGAACATCAACCTAGCCCTCATTCAATTAGCCTGCACCTGCCTTTCATAGAGCATGCATTGTGCTATAGCGTTTAGAGGTGGACTGTGAAGCGGAGGTGGTGGTGAATCTGGCATTTAACCCAGCAAAGATCTGTAGTGTATGCAGAGAGAGAGTCTGCCTCTGCTGAGGTTAAGAGTTCATTGCCACAGAAAGAGGCTGGAAGTAATGTGAGGAAGAGGAGAAACCACTGAGGGAGGGGGTAGGATGTAGGTACACCACACAGCGTGTGGCTCCAAACATTTCTATCTTTACAAATCACCCAAAACTTTGATAGATAAACTTGTTTCAGGAATTTTCTAGAAAGGACTGTCTGTATCTTGAAACATTCAAGTACAAGACAGATAGCTGCACTAGAATAAAGTAAAAATAAACTTTTTATAAATAACTTGAAACACAGAAGTTGAAATGATTCATAATGCTGATGCTTTTCACTTCTTTGACCAAAATAAAACTCAATTATGGATAAAAAATATTTAAGAAGAAGAATATTTGTGTACATCAGGACCTTTACCCTCATAATTACACATTTCTAGACCAAATATGTTATAACAAGCTCACAAGGCACCTCCCATTTTAAATGCTCTGAGAAATACAGCCTTATTCTGCTCGAAACAAGAACTGAATCCTGTTTCCTCACCATGCCGCAATCTATTGTGCATTGCTCTGTTACTGACTGATCATTCATCGTTGGTAAATATTTCACTGGAGCTACATCAGTGTTAAAGCCATGGCAGTTAATTAATGTCAATAATGGAAGCCATGCATAAACTCCACTAGTTCTCCTTGCTTGAAGTCTGAATGTGTTGTAAATCTCAGGGTGTTACAGAGAAATGGAAGTCATATGTCACATCTGTCTGTTTTATTATAATATTGATATTAACCAAATACAGTATTTGGCTGTTATATATAGTGTGTTGATGTGAATTACACTATAAACTCTTCTAAACTCTCTTCTGTGTGGTACTAAACTTAGAATTTAAATTAGATAAACCATATCAGTGCACAGTGTTATTAACCCTCACACTACCAGCTCTGCAGTCAGACGACCATCTATAAAGTTAGCCACTGAACACTCCAATGAATGCTCACGCACATGGGAAGTGTTCCCATCGCTACCATTTATCCTATATGACATGAATGCAACTTCAATTCAGAAAATGTGAATAATAGTCTGAATAATGAGCACTTAGGCCTTGAATGCAATGTGGACATTTTGGCTGCTCTCGCCCCTTGTTGTTTGTGTTTGGAGAAAAAAACCCTGTGGACTGAGCTGACTGATAAGCTGATCTACACTGAAGGACTGAATTATATGCAAGCAGCCTGTGTCATTGCTCACTTCTCTCTTCTCGGTTGTCTGCACTGAGGCCCAAACATCCAGGGGCACTGACAGCACTGTACCCTGGATTGGGGAGTTTTCTTAAAGCCCAAGCCATAAATGTACTTTCTGTTTGATCCCCAGTCTTCACTCTGGGTACCTGGTTTAGAGAGCTTCACAAAACACTCAATAACTTCCAAAAGCCTCTGTGTATACAGACTTAATTGTCAGCCTGACAGCATGTCTGTGCGTGTGTGTGTGTGTGTAACTGCGTTGGTGTTTGGTGCTCAGGCTCTCCCTGGACGCCTCATGAAGAATTGTCTCTGGATAGCCAAGCACACAATGAGGCCCAGTAATCCATTCACATAAATACTGCATCCCCCTATAAAGGAGAAATTTACCCTCAGATGCTGCAATGCACCACTGATACAAAATGGCACAACAGACCAAAACAACATTAAAAAGCCCCACTCACAGGGAGGCGCTTACACAAGCGTATCTGTATGTTAAATGGGTGGCTGAAAGAAATAGACTACATGTCAATTTAGGAATGAACACAAATAGTTTGAGCAAAGAATATTCTCAAAGTGAAACAGACACCTGTGGGGAGAAAGCTCATTGTTGTTAGAGAGGTTTGGGGAAATCGGCACTCTGTTTACTTTTTGGAAAGCTGTGCATGTGTCATGTTGTATTACTTTTCCAGCACTTTAAGAGCTTCTCCTTGAAGACGATCCAGAAGATACAACACAGTAATGAAACAAAAAAAGGCCTGTGGGGAAGTATAGAATCAACACAGTAATGTTTCTCACAAAACCCTTACAATGAAAATCAGGTTTGGCTGAATGAACAACACATTTCATCCGTTTTTCTCTCAGACTATTGGTTTTTGCTGAAGAAGAATATAACTTTTCTCCAATTTTCTTCTGCTTTTCTTTAGGAACACCACAATCCTTAATTGCACCTTGATCTGACTTCCTCTCTCTTGTCTCTGTCTGACAGCACCAGCAGCTGCATAGGGAAATATCAATTTCAATTGAGCCTCTAATGTTTTATTGCAATCTATTCATTACAGCAGTTGTGCCTAAATGGCTCAAATTAAGAGCACAAACTTCCCAAGACCTCAGACAGAAGCTTCAAAGGCTTGGAGCAATTTCTCTCAAATTCAGCTCAAGGGTTTAGAGGGTTGTGCCTGTGGATATCAAAGAGAGCAGATAGGATCACACTGTATTGATCTTCAAATTCAGCGTCTGCTCCTGGCATAATTTCAAAGTGGGTGAGTGTACGTGCGCACATGGTGTACAAAATGTGTGTGTATTTTTCTGTGCAATAATTAGTAGAGTAGTGTAACCATGTCCAGCACATCAGCAGATATACACTTAATGTTTGGGTTCTTAAATGGAGCAGTGAAGTGGGTGTATATGTAAAATGTTCTTAATTGTAAATTTGCTACATTTGATAACATGTGTGTCCCTCAACATAGAAAATATGGGAGTCTCAAGGATATACCAATAATATGTTGCAGTGATTGGTTGTAAATACATCAAGTCTGTTTTTAAGAAATTTATCTTTTTCTGTCATAGTTTGGCAGTACAGTACAAGAATGGCTAGTAATGGAAGTACTATTGTACCCATGTACTTCAGCATTACTGTAGAGAGGGAGGCAACCGGAGACAGAAGCCAGAGCCATAGCAAATTCACAAAGCTCTGTCATTGCAATCAGGAAGAACATAGCATGTCATAGTGGCTGAATTCATTCAAAACAGACTCGGAATCTAAACCTTTTAAACCACTCAGGTTTCTACACAGTGTAATCATTTAGCTTCTGTTAGCGTCAACAGAATCTTACCATCAGTGATTCAATGTTTCTCACTGAAATGCTCCTTGGAAATCGTAGTTGATTCCTCCAAAATTTTTTGATATACACAGCCTTATGTTACCTTGGAGATACTTCTACTGTCCGTCACATCACATGGGCTATATGCAAGATCATTTTCACATTCTTAACCCAAACCTCACAGACTTTTGTCTGTGAGGCTAAGGCGTATGAGTGGTCCACACTGGATTGGGCAAACTCTCTTAACTGCATTAATTTCTTGTAAGTTGCTTGTTTTAACCTGGTGAGTATCACATGTTCATGACTAGGTGCACATTCATGAATAGTGATCATTTGCAAAATTGACTTCCGCTGTCAGAAATCAGTAGACATATTCGTAAAAATATGAATACAGCTGCCAATGACGGGTCAGTATTGTAACAGAAATAAATAGAGAATGGTTTGACTCCAAGTTAGATGCTCAAAAACATCTAGCTAAAGCAAAGTGGCCATTGACTTAGATGGGAGAAGATCAGGGGGACATGAAAGTAACGAAAATACACAAGAGAGTATTATACAGTGGGATTGCGGGTGTAGGAGTGGGAGAATTTCCCTAATAACTACTAAACTGTATGAGTTGCCATATCAATGACATCACAAAATCTAAAAAGAAAGAAAGCAAAATTAAATTAAATTTGATCTTATATCTGCAAAATATTCCATATTTATTCAGATTAAGGTATTATACATCCTGCGTAGAAAGATCTGTACATCATATGACGGGTCTGATCCAAAAAATTCTAAACTCTGAAAGTATGTAAAAAACTGATGAAAATTCTCTTATGTGCCACTTGTGAACAAATCTTCTTGTACAAGTGGTTCCATTGTCAAAAAGAACAATACTTACCAAGGATGCCTAAAAATACACCTCCCATTATTCGAACTCTATACAGCTTGAACATTAATGGTTTTGCCATTTCTTTATTGCCATGTTCTTTCAATTCCCTCAGTTGCTCACACACATTGAACAGCCCTTAATGGACACGACCACTCAATGAATGTGTATGTATGGGTGCGCGTGTGTGTGCGCTCTCACCTCCACAGACCTCTCCACCGATGTCCTCGCACTGACGGTCGTCACACTCACAGTTTTTGCCATGAACCCGACTGTCCCCCGGTGGGTGGCAAGTGCACTGTCCGCACTGGCACTGACCTACAAAAATAGAGACGTCTCACATCTGAGCACAGCATTGTTTCATAGCAGAATTTTGTTTTAAATAGCTGTTCAGTACTTTTTTATTCAACCTGTAATTCAGGGGAGTCATTTTCATACCCACAGTAGATGTGTGCAATGATTGAATGATTTAAAACTAGACCTAATCTGCCTGACAACATTCCCTCCAGCCACACGGGGAAATCTTATATGTAAATCAGTCACTCCAACAGACACTCACATGGGCTACGCACCCACACATACACACACCTCAAGACATTGCTATCCCACTTCAATCAGTGAGCTGCCAGTGAAGGAGGCCACAGGGGAACTTACTGAGTGAGCATGCCGGCTAATGGGGAAACTCATTAGAAAAACATCATCTATTCTGAACTATCATTGGAGGTGTGTGGTATACCTGCTCATTGATCATTTTACCAGGCTGCTCACAGTTGTGTTAATAGTGGACATAGTGTAGGCCACACACAGATACTTGGAGGATTAGAGGGAGAAATCTCTTTTAAATGCAAGTCATGCTCACGCTTCATATGGTCTTTGTTATGCATCCAAACTTTTTGCTGAAAATACAGTAACTTAGCCATTTGTTTATGTAATCATGCTTCTATAACAACAATTCTACTGAGGGGTGAAATGTGAAAAGTTCAACCTGAGAATACATTAAGAATGTCTTATTACTACTTTAAATAGAGCTTAAGAATAACACTGCATAGAAGGTATTACCATGAAATATGAGGCACGCTCTATGCTTTACTGACAAATATAAAGAAAATATTTCTTTGAAATCTTTCAGATGTTCCTATCCACTGATTCTGCAGACAAAAGACACCCAGAAGGGCTACAAACAGGTAACCTGCCCACCATGAAAAACAATTGCACAAAGGGAAATTCCCAGCTTAGCGAAGACAGATGGTTAAAACAGTGGCCCTGTTTCTCTTTTCTCCAGTTTTTATTGAGCCGGGTATATCCTTTTTGCACAATCATTATTCACTCTGAATGTTTTCCTTGTTTGTGGCCCTGCCAGGTACATTTTGTGTTCAGTGCCACTAAATAACACCTAAAACATATCCATAATGTGTATGTGCCTGCCTTTATCTTTTGATGACTCATTGAGTGGAATTAGGGGCAGTAAATAGAGCCAAACATGAATTAACAAGACAGCCACTCGACTGACAGAGTCATCTAATGTGTTGTCAATGTCACATCACTGTCAGTTCATACACACACACACACACACACACACACACACACACACACACACACACACACTAGCAACCTCTCTTCCTGCTTCACATACAACATACCACCATCTGCTCTGGGGACTCCGTTACCCCAGCAACTGGTGATGTCATAACACCCCTGCCATATCGATTATCTCTCTGGTTGTCAAACACATAGCATGAACGTGTGTGTATGTGTGTGTTGATGTTTAATTTGTCATCCTGTCTGAGGTGAGCAACACCTTAATGACAACGTCACATCCATAGACACCAGCCTGAGACATTCTGGCTATATTTCTCAAAAGCTGGGCGCAAATGTATGTACACATGCAGGGCAGGTGAAGGAGTGGCAAACTAATTTTTACCCTTTTAGTGAGCGGAGATACAAGTTAAGTCATGTGGCAAAAACTGGAAAGGGCTAGAGCAGGATGAATACATTCTTAAAGTTTTAGCTTTCAGGTTTCCTTTAAGGTTAGGTTTCTTTCTGTTTATCATATCTGAGTATGTTTAAATGTGCAACTAATGAAAAATAATTTGTTTAGCCTGTTCACATTACATGAACTGATGTTTATATTTACATGAAATAACCTATATTATACTATTTCTGAGAGAAAATACTGTTTGGAGTTTTGTTTATTGTAAAAACATTCATTGAGCTCCTTAAGGATGCCTCCTGTACTCACTTATGGTTTTCAATGCATAAACCTCAAGTCTCTGTAGAATAGCTGCGTCTATGCTTAAAAGGACAAAACACTGTGTGCTTAATATTTTACAGGCAGATGCCATATCAAAGGTTTTAATTCAAGTATCCAACCTGTTAAATTAAAGACTGTAGATAGAACATGGCTACAAACAGTTAATCAACTTAAAAGAAAAGCTCCCATATATTCTGCAGTGGTAGCAGGACAATCATTAATGCCACCTGTTATAGAGACATATGGAAGTTGTGTTTTGATGTGCAATTAAATGGGAGCTTCCAAATTCCAACCAAAGGCGGAGATGCAATGTTCAACAAAAACAAAGATGTGTGACCTACCTAACTGAACTGTGTCACATTTGTTATAGTTTCATTGGTCTGAACCAAGCAGAAGTGCATGTCCATTTTCATGCCAAAATGAGTACCAAATTTGTGCTGCGCTGGCTGATCTACATAAACACAACCACAGCTGTGGTTCTTCTCACCACAGAGCTGCGAAATTAACACACAAAAGCACAAATGTTCTCGCATTGCACCTACATTTGCACTTCTGACATCTCTGCGGCTGGAATAAAAAAATAAAAAAACAAGTTCATTGATTTAAAGAAAAACATTTAGGCCGTATTTACTGATATTCACTGCACTACTTAAAACAATACATGACTTAGATTAAGCCTGGATGTTGGAAACAACTACTCCCAAAGATTTTCAAAGAGACTCATCACTTAACACCACCGTGGATTGGCAGTTTTAAAACCACTCTGGCAGCCTTCTTAGCTCGAAAGCTTGCTTTGACTTGATTGCATTGTCAGTTCTGTGACAGCTGCAATGAGTTCAGCATCACGCCAAATACAATAAATCCAGTGTAATGATTTCCCCACCTCTTCCACCCCAACGAGCTTTCTCCCACCCTGTATTGTGAATGAAAGCATTCCATTAGCACCCAAAGTGAAGCACCAACCAAATGAGTCTATTGTCACTAGCAGAACGTATTAAGTGTATGATAGTTGTTTAAAACACATACAGTAAAGTACACGATATGAGTAGGCAGCAGTAATCGATCTATTTAGATGCATAGACGAGCAACAACTCACCATCCATTGCTACAGAGACAAAGGGTCTTATTTTCCGGGGTAAATACCACCATTAACACACAGATAGTGCTGAAGATCTGGTTAAAGGCAATGCAACATCATTATTGTCACATCATTAATCACAGAAGCACGAGCAAACTGGTGATCTTAAAGCTGCCCTCCACTGTTTTTACACATCAAGATCCTTTAACTAGTCAAGGAAAGTACTCTGCCTGCCAAATCAATTAAATAATGTCTTCTGTGGCTTTGGAGGGAGCTTTATAAAGTTTAAGATAGTATCCATAGTGATGTCACCAGGGTTATTAAATGAAAGTCTGTGGGTGCATGGGCTATGAAAAACTTTGGAGTTCACCGGTCGCAGAGAGTCAAATCGAAGAAAGACACAATCAAACTGCATTATAGGAAATGTAGGATCCAGTGTTTCGGAAGCTCGAAGACCCACTGAAACAAAGCAAATTCAATACTAAGTTCTAATCCACGGTCCTATGCTAAAGGTCCAGTGTGTAACATTTAGGAGGATCTATTGGCAGAAATGGAATATAATCTTCATTCATTTGTTTTCATTACTGTATGAAGACCTGAATATAGGAATCCCTGTGTGTCTGTTACCTTAGAATAAGCCGATTCTATCTACAAACGCTGCAGGTCGAAACGGAGGGTGAAGCGAGTGAGTTGCAATCAAAACATGTTTGAATATATTTATATATCCCTCACTTTTCTCCTCCTGTGAATTATTTTTCAGGTCTCATCCTGGATTTAAGGGTGTAATTCATGAATATATCCAATGGAATGTGGTCACGGGGGACCAGCTAACACCTTCTATTATACTGTATAAAACTGCTTTCAACCATTAGCTCAAGGGTTGTAGTAGATCAAAGAAGACGAAAAATATCAGAGCGGGTGTGTGTTTGAAGAACTATTCATCTCTACAGCTGTGTATAGTTTTGTATTCACATCTTTAAGCAATCCGATCAAATCTCAAGGATTTGATCAGATCCCTCTTCAAAACGATTGGCTACCCCTTTATTTTCGGTCCCATTTTACAAGCAAAAAACACTGACATTTCACTGGGCCTCTAACCTCTGTGCCAAACATATATCAGCCTCTGCTGTTTCAATTTTCACCATGTTTTATAATCTGTCCCTTTCCAGTTTATCGTACAGAAGTAGAATAACAAATTGGTGAACTACCCCTTAACAGTTAGGTATTGGAGTACAGTAAGACAAAAGGAGTTTATGTGCCAATTAATATTAACAATTACATGGATACTATGATTTAAGACTACTACAGGCCACACTTGAGAAAGCAGGGAAAGGAATCCCAAGAATCAGCAGAAAGATGTTGAAAGCAGGTGTTTCCTTGAGGAAATACCACAGTATAAAGAATGTGCTATCCACCAGCGTCTTCCCTCCACCTCAGGAAGAAAAGCTCTGAAGCTGCTGTTTCAAATTTCAAGGCTTTTCCGCTCAAGCTGCCATCTGTACCAGCCGCATTCATCCATGCCTAAGTGATTTTCTACGTCTGTCTCCTTTAGTTTCATTCTTACTCTCCCACCCTGCTTTCTGTCTCCTTTCATTGTGTTTCCCATAGACCTTCACTCCGCTCTCTCCCTTTTCTTTCCCTTCATATCCTCTGATATCCATCGAAGCCAAAATACTAAACCAAATGGGCGTCTGGAAAAGACAGTAAACCTCACGTAAACACTCAGGTATATATGCACGGCAAGCATAGTCACCCTCTTTTGTCTATCTAAACAGAGGCGGTGAATAGTATGTTTGGAAATGTATGTATTGTTAATAATAGAGGAGCAGCAGCGTGAATTGATGACATGCAGATTATACTTTCAACATGTAATAGACATAAATTCTTGGCCACAGGGGAAATTCGATTAAGCAGTGTCTCATATATTTAACATTTCAAATCCTAATCAGAATCTATTACTTTAAATTTAAGCACAGGATATGTATTATTATTAATATTTATTCAACATTGTGCCATGTGGTATAAATGTACACTCAAACTTAAACTTAAATTGTCACTGAATGGACTGGGATGCCAGAAGAAAAATGCAATTTTTAAAAGGAGCGATTTATGGATCCCATTAATTGTTCTATTGCACGGGGTAATTTAAAGTTCCATTTTGTTGCAGCAATTGGAGATAATTTAAAGGTACTGCTGGAGGAATTAAAGCTAATTAACTCTCCCAGCACAAGTTAATCTTTGCTGTTTCATTATGTGAGGGGGGCCACTATGCCTGCTCAACACTGTTGTTGTGGAATTGGTTTGAGGCGGTCAAAACCAAAGTCTGTTATGGAACAGACACAATATGTAATGAACAGCTGATGTATTCAAAGACACCAAATTGCTTCTATTTGTAGAGTGCGTTTAGCCAAGGTTGAGGCATCATATAGTAGGTACATAAGCTTCATTGACCATACTGCTGTTATTGTGCTATTATTGGCTTATGGTGATGTTGACTTTTTAATGTAGCCGTCTCCATGGTAGCTGCCACGCCCTATGCGTTTCAGGTGCCTGATCTAATCAGCAGCTTTTCCTTCCATGGTTGTGAGGGACGTCTATGGCCACTATAATAACATACAGCAGGCTGCAGTCTGCAAATCTTTTCGTACAAAGCAGCGACTGAAAGGCTGTGGATTCTCCAGAGACGTCCTCCACAGTCAAATGACACAGGAAATCAATGCTTCACATTAACCCCTGATAAATCCGCAGATTCTTGAGACCAAGAAGGTTGTGCTCCTTATAGAATCGCTCACCGCCGCCTACATTATTAAGCTGAATCATCAAAGAATACAGCAGGCTTTACTGTACCTTTTCTTATTGTCCTGTCATCCTGAGGTACAGAGACACTGCTAGGTATTCCCCAGAAAACTACAACAATGTTTAGAGCAGTAGGAGCAGTGCTACACTGAACAATGGCAGCAGCACTGTAGCTGATTGATTAAGGCTGCTGCATCAGTGTAAAATACGAGTACAAGCGATACCTCAGAAGACTTGTGCACTGTGTAGCTACCTTATTTCTCTTATTAACAAATGGCAATAGCGTACTTTTGGACAATGCAGGTTGTCAATCAGTCTAAGAACAAGTGTAACGAGACCATTGTGCATTGTTAACTCTGGACGTAGGCACAGTATCTGATCTGGAAAAACCTATACCATGATTTTGGTTTTGCTTATTGTTGTCTAGCAGTTCTATGGAGGAATTAATTTGTGACTGATGTAATTTCAAGGAGGCTGTACAGTGGATGATCAATTTCTTGGCTGATTTTCAAGCTGAGAAAACCTGCCACAGTTTCTAGAAACATTCCTTCTAATCTATCAAGCAAAATCAGTTTTTATGTAAATCCAAGGCAATATATATCTAAGACTTCCCTGGTTTATTTTATTTTTTCTAAGGCACTGCTTCTCATCTGGATAAACTAGCTACACACACAGTCTGAACATCTATAGCTACAAAGTCACATATTTCATTCTTGGCTTTAGCTTTGCACAGTTTGTTGTCCTCCAAAGCCAGTTTTCTTCCTGTCCCTTCTGAAATGTAGACATTCATCCATCTGCTTCCTTTTGGGGGAGTGATATCCAAACCTTTACTGAAACCTGACTATAAAGGCCAGATTCAGAATGGGATTTCACCTCACCCAATTAGTTTTTATGATGTTTCAATTTAATACAGTATATTCTATACGTGGCCAAGGGTGTTTACATCCACTGCCTGTAAAGATTAATCAGAACAGCTTTGCAAAAGGTGAGTAATTTGTTTCTCCCCTCTTTGGCTAAGAAGCTTTGGGCTGTATACATTTGTAGTAGTGGCAGTGTAATCTTAATTAATGGTTTGTCCATCACTTGATGTAGTTGAGCAATTAATGGTCTGATTGATTGTTTAAAAATATGTTTTGGCCTTAATCCACTAATAATATTAAGATTGTGAGTTTCTTACTCCTGATCAAGAATAAATGGTTTTTGATAAAGCGATGATGTTACCGTTTCACATGTGTTCCTTGATCCACCATGAGTTATAAGCAGCTGTGGGGAAATACTTGCTCTTTGTGGTGTTCATGGTGTTGTTTTGACAAGTGTTCAACATGCCTCTTTTAATCCAAGCTTTTCATCCAAGAGTAAAACATTTAAAGGCCCTATTTTGTCAATCAGGTTCTGAGCAACAGGGTCCTATATAAACGCGCACATTTCTGCCAAAGTTAGAATGGTTTTGATTATTTTAATTGACAGATAACTGTGCTGTTTTGTCTGAGCTTATTGCTTTAAGTGGGTAGGACAAGGTGGGAGATGGCGATGTCATGTACTTGACTGTTGCTTCTTTATTTAATTCTACAGAGATTTGTAGAATTTAAGTTTTGTTGTGTAGAGTAAATATGTAGAGTTTGCAAACAAACTATAGTGTTTTCTAGCCCTAAAATATAGTCTACTGTTTTCTTAGTGTATCTGTTACCTAATTTCCATTTACTGCCATCAATCAACAGGTTTCAGGGTGACTGGGCCAACAATGGAAGCACAACCTGGATGTCTGTACTTGGATGGTTCTCCAGTGTTGCTTCAGTATCTGAATCTAATATTAGTATTAGATTTTTATTTTAGATTTAGATTTGGAAGTTCCAAGAAAACAAGCTCCTGCTGTCCAGAAGGCACACTAATAAAGCATACAGTGCACTCTAATGAATCTAGACACATCGACCTACAGCTTGTTCTATTGAGAGAGCTCTTCCAGCCTCACATTGTTGCAGGCAAACAGTGACCCTTAATCTCACACAGGCACATAAACGTGCACGTATATACATATGTATGAGCACAAACACGCATATCAGAACAAAACACGAACACACATTAACACAAACCTGCATATGCATTCATGTGCATAACATGTTGCTTTTCAGATCAGGGCTTGTTTAAAGATGCTATCAGATTTGTCTTTAAAGCCCTCTTAAGGATGGATTAAGAGATGTGAAACACTGGAAATGGATTAAGAGATGTGAAACACTGGAAATGGCCTATTTTACACCAAGAGGTGAGGACAGAGTACAGGCCTGCTGCAGTAACCATGGCAACAGGAGCGGATGGGAAGATCAGGTACCTCGTCCGAAGCAGGGCAAATTGGACGTTCCACGACACTTCTTCACACTGCTCTCCAGAGACAGCGAGCAGGACAGAGGATGCTCACACTTCTTCCCGGCCCATCCCTCCTTGCAGTCACACCTGCCGCAATTACACTGGCCGTGACCTGCCAAGAGGAAAGAGGAAGAGGTGGAGGAAGCAGAGAGGTGAAACAAAGTGGAGGCTTTGCACAAGGAAAATTCAAAAAGTCGCAGTGAGAGGGGGAAAAAACAGCAAAACGCACTGAGTGTGTACGTGAGTGAGTGAGTGTGTGAGAGAGCAAGACAGAGAGAGAGAGAGAGAGAGAGAGAGAGAGAGAGAGAGAGAGAAAGGAGAGCAATGGGGGTGATAAAATAAACAAGATGCAGGACATGCTAGAGGTGAGAAGATGAGGGGGAATTTAGTGCCCTTAAAACAGCGGCTAAACAGGCTTTAACTGTCTGGCCAGCATTAATTAAATCTGGTCTGGTCTGAGGGACAGAGAGGGAGAGAGAAACTGGTGGGAAAAGGTGAGATATAAAACATGAAACAAGATGTGAATGTATGTAATAAAAGTATGCACCAAAGGATTGTTAACAGTGTATATGCTAGGATGCCAAGATACATTTTCTGCTACATTAATTATTAGTTTAATGAGTAGTAGGCACAGTGGTAGCATCCATCATATTTTGTTCATTAATTCCTTAGAGAAACAGGGAAAAGGTCATTCCCACCCCTCCAAAGTTTATTGTTAAGTTATTTGGAAAGTTCACTTTTTCAACTGCGCCAGAGTATTAGAAGCAGATGGGGAGCTGTTGTTGGTGCTGGCTACAGTAAGGGTGAGTTACTCAAAGTTAAAGATCAATAAGTGGTACTGACATAAACAATAACATATACCAGTAGTTGCACATTGTATGAGAACAGATCTTTTTTCAAGAACATTTTAAGAAACATGCTTATTATCTTTTTACAGAGTTAGATGAGAAACATCCATAGTGCTGCATATTGGCAAGAATCAGAGGTTATGATTCAGGACATTGAGATATTGTAAGCATGGTGATATATTGGGAATTATTATTTTGACATTTTAGGAAAACTGTCCACAATATGCATGAAGTCCCTGTAACAACCAACATAATATCTCTAGTAGTATAATAGTTTACAATAGCGCTTAGAGGTTTTACACACAAATCAACAGTGTTTTTGAGAATTGATACAGTATCACAAAACAAGATATTGCGATACAATATTTTTCAATATTTTCTATAAGCTAAGCTAACAGGCTGCTCACTCCAGCTACATATTTAGGGCCCCAACTAGTGAGTGGTAGCCTATCAGTGTTCTCATCCACAGTAACTCTCACCAAGAAAGCAAATAGGCATTTTTTCCCAAAATCTTGAACCACTTCTTCACTATTTTAAAGAGGACTCTAAAATATATTTATATTTTTCTAAATCCAAAAACAGCATGCTGACCTGAGCAAAAGTCATCCGTGTATCGGTCATAGGTTGCATGACAGTTCCTTTCATCGCACTCGCAGGTGTCTCCATGAATATCTCCCCAGTCGCCAGAGGGATCTACATCATAACAGTTACACTCCCCACACACACAGGTCCCTGACAGCCACAGCAGCACACAACCACACAAAAACATTCTGTTAATTTACACTGCATTCTTCAGACAAACAAAAAATAACACGAAACATTGCAAGTGCAACTCATTGTCTGTGACATTATAAACAGGGGGTGGGACGGATATAGAGGTTACGACCAACAGGATAAATACAAGTTCTTCTTCTGTCTAATTTTTCTTCTTTTATCTGTCTGTCTCTCTCTCTCTCTCTCTCTCTCTCTCTCACATTTGTTTTACATCTTAGCTAGGGCATCAGCTGAGCAGCAGCCAGTGGAAATCCCATTTTCTCTTATCAGCAGTGACAGACCACAGGGAACCCCAGGGGAGCCAGGCCAGCTGGCAAGCCTGTGGGCTGTGGCTGCTGCATGTCTGGCCCCTGGCCCTCGTTCGGTCTTCCTCACCACCTCGTAACCCTGGAGCCCCGCATTTATAGAGCCGTGCACTTTTATGTCTGCCACAAATGTCACAGCCCAGCTTCACCGGAGCAGATTACAGCTCCAGTACTAGTTACTGTACAGAAATGCTCTATAAACGCTCTATAAAATTAGGGCTTCATTAGAATACATTTATATTTTGTGTTTTCAGAGGCAGTTTTTGAGCAAATTCAAGTAAAAAGCAACCTCGCTCTCCGCATGAAAGGCAAATATTTTCCCTCTGTGTGCCTCATGCAACCGTATTATCTTCGACTCAAATTGTTTTGATCAAGAAATCATATATAGATGCACGTATTTAGCTTCCAGCATTATGTGGCTGTTATCATTTTGACAGCACGCCAGTTAGTGTATTATTAGCTCAACCGAGGAGGCTAGGTGAACCAAACAGATGGAGGGGGTAGGCAGTTTGTTGAAACGGAGTAATCTAGTGATCTGTTATGTTCTGTCAGTCAAATCATTCACTCATTCATTTCAGAGTGTGAGCAGAGCAGGAGATAAAGGTTTACTGTTGAGCAAAGTAGGAGAGAGAAGATATTTTACAGCTTCATACAAAACACTTCACATCTCTACATCTATACAGGATGATGAAATCAAATCAGCCTTCTTTTATGTAATCATCGTCCTTGATCCATCTCCTATAATCACCAGGAATTATCTTCACAATGCTGTAAAGGAGGATTAATTCAGAGCAGAATGGTTACATGTCATATAGAGATGGGAAGTGAGAATTGTCCCCCATTATAATTAGTAACAAATTGTCTGACTTGTGAGGATTGTGTAGTACTTGAATGGGACAGAATTAAAAAATGATCAAATACGTTTTTACGCACATTTTACCAAACTGGGGGAAAGGGCAAAATACAGGATATTAAGATATATTGGCCACAATACTGGCACTGTGTTTTATTATTTGCTGGCAATGCATGTTAGAAAGTGTTTTTCATTTTCAGAAATGCATCAATTACATCAAGTAAAAGTCTGTATAGTGTTAACATTAGAGTCACACAGGCAGCTTTTTCATATTTGTCTCGCCTTGAATAGGAATACATAAAGAAATTGTATTGATTTTAAATAATGTTAGCCAGGCTCAGGTTCCATCCAGTAGTTCCGAGGCACTACTGATTTGAGATTGATTTGAGATTTCCTTTACATGCTAATATGTTTTCTCTTTTCATTGAAGAAGTTGTTGCTCAACAGAGAGTAAGGAAACCAAATCAAAGCTATAAAACCTGCATGTTTTCCACAGTCCAACAGTGTATCAAAAAAATCTATAAAGGAATTTAAAAAGCTACTTCTAAAAGAATCTTAAAATGCAGTCAAGCTAATAGAACGAGCAGTTTAGGTTGTTTAGGTTGATTTTTAATGTCCAGTGTGTAACATTTAGGAGGATCTATTGGCAGAAATGGAATACAATACTCATATGTATGTTTTCATTAGTGTATAATCACCTGAATATAGCAATTGTTGTGTTTTCATTAGCTTAGACTGAGACGCTTTTATCTACAGACTGAACAATGAAGTCCGCTATGTTGAACCGTCATCTTTCTACAGTAGCCCAAAAACAAACCAAATGCTGGCTGTAGACAGGGCCCTTTGCATTTTTGCTAGTTTTGCAGCCACCTTAGTTTCTTGTTCTAGCCTAGAGGTCTTTGCCCATTCTCATTCCCAGGCCGTCAAATACAGACATCAGCGGTGTTCAGTTAGCTGCAATCTGAAACTTCAATGTTACACACTGGTCCTTCAACTGATATGGACTTTCAGTCATATTTCCCTTATTCTTTTCTCTGGCGATTGTCAGGCCTTTATCTGACTTTTTTTTATACTAAAGAGGAGCACAATGGGCTACGAGACCATGTACAACACTGTGGATGGTTGTTCATGCTGTGTCAGCTGTGCACTTAACCATAAATCATGGGGCTCTGTCCATGTAGCCTACCATTTAGCCCCAGCCCTCAGCCAGTCCACTGTAATTAATTTTAGAGAGCTTTACTGAAATCCCTCAGGATCACTTGAGCTAGGTTAGTGAAGCTATTTCTCTGACTGCCTGTCCGCCAAGCTCTGATGACTTTCGGAGGAATTTACATGAGAATTGTTATTCACTGTATTTTTCTCTGTATTTCTCTGTCTTTTTTCTTTGTCTTCATCTCTTTCTTCACTCCCAGTTTCAAAGGTGGATATCAAAGGGGACTCTTTTATTATCCATGGTAGTCAAGATAGCAGATGACACACTGAACTGGAGTTCTCTTATCATACATAATGCAAACTATGAGAGATGAAAAATGTATTTAAAGGACTATCAATTCCATTCATCCCTTTACCAGTGTTTTACTGCTTCTGGGACTGTGTCTTTTCCTCCTCGTAATGACCCTAGATAACAGATAGGAAATGAACCTGACCCCATTTAGAATGTTTGTTTCCTGTTTCCTAGCAACACAATTCAATTGAAATTGAATTATGAGGTGGACTCTTATGGGTATATATTTTACTGCTCTGTGAATCAGTGATCATAAACATCTGCGTGATGGCTGTATATAAATATATATTTTCGATATTAGTCTTTTCATATTTATTTTATTATTTTAGATTCCATCAACACATAATCATAGTAAAAAATTAAAATGTTACTATACTATTATAATTGAATCAATAATCATAATATCACAATTTCAATTGGGATCACAGACAGAAAACAGACCTCTGTTGCTGCAGATTTTGCCATCTGGAGATGTGCATCTCCGCTTGCTTTCCCATGGGCTGATGTCACACTGGAATTCACATTTGTCTCCATGCCAACCAGCAGCACAGTAACAGTTTCCACAGTAACACTGGCCATGGCCTGGAAGCAGATCAGAATGCACATGCAACAACTGATGAGTTCACCTTTGTCTGTGTTAAAGATCGGCAGTAAATAAAACAGATTTCTACAGTACCTCCTTCTTGTTGATGTCCAGCTTTTAGGAATTTAAAAGAACTTTATACTTCCTACAAATGCTGACAATGTTTTTTCCCCAACCCAAATCATAAAAGATGTATCCTTTTTTCAAAAAGATATTTTCTTTAACCAAAATGTTTTACAAATAAAAAAAAAAAACGGTTTTAGACTACTTGGTAGACAAATTAAAGTACCTGTATTTCTTACAAAAGGCCTGAATCCAGAATTTATTTTTCAAAATGAACTTATGAATGGATAATTCACAGTGATAAGCAGGCACTGGTACAACCTGTGGGGTATGTGGGGATGTGTAGAACACTGTTAAATACAGTTAAAGATAACAGTTTTAACTACTTTTAATTTCCAATTAACCTTTATGGACACATGAGGCTTATGTGTTTTGTCACGTCAAATTGAGAACTTATTTCAAATTGTGTAAAGGGCATCATGCTGATTTACAGTCTTGCCATTGATGGCCACATGTGGGCAACAAACATGAAGTTGAACCAACAGCAAAAAGACATTTGAGCATTTGTTGTCTTACAGGTTGGTTTCGAACACAAAAAAACTGTTCTGATGGTATTTTCACATTTTGTAAGTAACCATCTAGATAAAATATGACTCTTTATGACTCTTTATTTACTCAGAGTGAACACAATGCAATGCTCTGATGAGAAAATGACTGTTGTGCAACCCTTGGAGACACACAATGATGATGATTAGTAAGATTGCAATTTGTTTTAACATGACCTTGTTCAGTTGCTTACTGTATTACAGAAGACACAGAAGTTTATTGTTAGTTTTTTCGAATATGTTTCCTAAACAAAACCAAGTAAGAGCCAGAGAGCAGTTAATGTTACCCTGAACTTCCAAAAGCATATATGGCTACAATACCATTAGAAACCCATTGTTTTTGCATATTGAGAACTTGACAGGATTGCTGTACCTAGTTACTGTTGCTAAGCTAAGATTGTACAATTGCTGTGCAGGGGAGACATTAAGCAAATGGTCAATTGACATCAGTGTTCCTTAAATCTCTAAGAAAAACAAACAAATCATGGCAGTTTTCCTTTAATATACCGGTAGACATTCAAAAAGAGAACTACTACTACTACAGTTGGCATGACAGCTGCTAAGAAGAAATAAGTCAACCAAGACAGAGTGACAGGGATGGACAGTCCTTGAATAATCATATGTTAAACTAAGGTGTCTGTTCTGTTTTGGGGGGATGAGTGAGGGGGTGAGACAGGGCCTGCAGGGCATACCTCCACACACCTCTCCGGTGTCCTCGTCCAGACACTCGCTGTCGTCACACTCGCAGAAACGTCCCGTCACCAGGCCCCTGTTGTCCTCATTGTCACACATGCAGCTACCACAGTGGCAGGTGCCTAATAAAGACACCAGCTTTAGACACATTTTAAGCTTATTGTTAAAAAAGGTCAAGTTTGTTTGTGTGTGTGTGTATGTTTACAGTATTTGCATTTTGACACCAAGAACCCATCTGGTTTGCAGATGTGCATTGGATGCACCGTCTGTGCGAAACTAGACTGGCGTCTGACTACTGAAGGTGTGTGGTTGTGTGCTGGGGCATTTTGAACGATGCACTATAGGGAAAGAAGGCTAGACAGCTACATGCTGTGAATAAATTTGCATTTCTACACACTCAAACAGGCCACATACTGTATAGTACATGCTTTCACACACACACACACACACACACACACACACACACACACACACACACATCCACACACGCGCGCTGGCATGCGGACACACAAATACAGGTTTATCCTTCATTTAGCTGGGGGTATTGCAGACCAGTGAGGAGAACAACCTCTCACAGTGTGCGTCTCAATCATGTGCCCACAGACATAAACACACAAACCTGGACTGTGTGCATCAAATAAGCTCTGGCTTATGAGATTTAAGACCAAACTGAATTACCAGTACTTACTTACAGTATTGTTAACTCAAGATGTCAGTCCTCCCAATGATGCTTATTCATGCATGAATGTATTAATGTACCTGTATTAGCGAAAGAGAGATTGTTTATACTGATAGATACGCGTGAGAGCAAAGAGATTTGCCTTGACTGAAAGAACTGAGCTTTAAACAGGTTTATAAGTTTCAACTAATGGCTTTATTATGCTTATTATTTATTTTATTAATGTTTAGTCAGTAATAAGCTATTTACAAGGACAAACTCATGTAACCTTAAACAAATAAACTGTAGACTCATGGAGTATAAAATATGTAAGACATTATTAAACAAATACATAAAGTTTAAATTATATTACTTTTATTAATTACATTAATAAAAGTTATTAGTGTCAATCGATTTCACAACTGGACAAACTCAAAGTTGTTTTTATTAATAGCTTATTACTAGTCTATAAAGCATTTATAAAAGCCATTAATTAAAGCCTTTAGTTACAACTTTAGTTAAACCTTTTATAAATGCATTAGTGAAAAGTGGTACTAAAAACAAAATATTAAATAATAACAATAATAAATACAATTATATTATCATTGTTGTGTATATTTTGTGCTTGTGTTTCTGTGAATATGCAATGCTGGTCGTTTGTTTGATGCAGATTTTTGTTAACACTTGAGTATACTTTTTTGAAACTGTGTACAACAAGACTCACTGTGTGTATACTTGTGTGTGTGTGTGTGTGTGTGTGTGTGTGTGTGTGTGTGTGTGCGTGTGTGCGTGTGTGTGTGTGTGTGTGTGTGGTCACAGTACCTCTGTTGGAGCACACCACCCCCTGTGGGTTTTTGCACAGCTCTTTGCTCTTCTTGTTGGGCAGGTTACACTCCTCCTGGAACTGGCAGGCATCTCCGGACCAACCTTCATCACACTCACATGTCCCACAGTCACAGTAGCCACGGTCTGAAGGAAAACACAACACACTGCGTGCTGTTTATCGATGCTGAAAAAGCATGCTAAATGCCAGTGCTTCAAATTGCCCTATAAACACAAGGATGCACATAAGCGTTATCTTAAATGGATATGATGGCATTTCGCTACCAGAGAGTACATGGATTAGGGTTATAGGATTCATTTGACTCCCTTGACTCCTAATTATTGTAACAGACCCATTGTACTCCCAAATGATTCTGTTTTTATGAATGGGAAATATTATATATTTCCCTTGAGACACATAAATGTAAATCTGGTAAGCAAGCGGTACCATTTGTCTATTATGTCTTATTATATTTTTGAAGTAATACAACCTTTGTTGTTACATTTCAGGATGATATACTAACTTCCCTATCAATCACTCAGTGAGAGCATTACCTTGTTCAGCGTTCAGAGGAACCACACACAGGCAGACTAGCATCAATATTTTTAATCATCCTGATGGCCGTAGTGAGCTATATGAAAAACAGGAAGGATCATATGATGCAAATGAAGGCTGTTGACAAGTTATTATGAATGTTGTCCCCATTGCATTTAGCAGTAGGGGGCCTTGTATGTCACATTCAATCATTCTCCTGACTCGTTCATCATGTAAACGCGGTGTCCTTTTCAAGGGCTATCCATCAGTCATTAACAACAGGCAAGTCCCCTGTCTCTCCTCATTATCGATATGTCTTAGGGGACACTTGGGAACAGCTTCAGGGAAAAGAAGAATATGGAACGTGCACTTCAAAGAAAGCTGCACCACAGACACAATACAGTTTTGAGGAAAAATAAACTATTTTAATGAGACATCTGTATTATTGTTGTCAATCAAACTGTAAAATTTGAGAGGCTCTGACTGTGCTTTCTGCTGGTTATCTAGACAATACAATTCCAATTATAATTCCACGTACGGCAGTAAGACCTGCAGCCCTGTACAAATATAAAGTTATTTGAAAAAATAGAACATATAGTTCAAAGTAGTAGTTCAAAATCCATATTATTGCAGTGTAGATACATATAGGTTAGAAATAATCTTGTAGAGTAATGGGTGTTTTCTTATTGGCTGTTTGTACTACCTGTGTTTTTTCATCCAGACTTACTGTACCTCTCTGGGTGCTGACACTGGTACTGTAGCAGTACAGTCATATACATCAAAACCAAAGCTGTTTTTACAGTGATTAGTGATTCTTGAATCATTAATTGAATCTAGACCACAGTCACTGCACATTTGTTACTATTTTATTGCTTTGTGTGATTTTTCAGTACTGACTCACAGAGATAATCTAAATGAGATTATATGTGTGGACATTTCTTTTTGGGTTTATCATTTAGTTTTACAGATGGAAACTAACACACAATAGCTGTAAAATAGAATTAGATTCAAGTCTCTCCAACTTAATTCAGCAGAATATTACAGAGTAACTGCCACCCACTAGCCCCCATTAATCTCCACTTGGCAATCACTCTGACATATAAAACGGCCCCTCTTTGTCTGCTAGGCGAAAGTTTATGTGTGTGGGAGGGTGTCTGTCTGTCAACAGTTTATCTTTCCTGGTGCTTCTTGGGCAGTAATTCTCTGTGACTTGGGGGTGCTAGGGTCCTTCCTACACTCCACCGACGGACACGCGACACACCTAACCAATTAGGGTCCAACTGGTGCCAAGATACATCCAATAGGATCGGAAATAGAGGGTGCATCTGTGCCAGCATCAATGGCAGTAATAACAGGTGATGTAGCGTTACCAAACTTAACTGTTCATGAGGAGAGGATGGTGACTCATGCAGCAGACTAATTTCAGGTTTAGGATTTAACTTGTTCCTGCTTAATGATAAACAAAGTATAACACTGAGAAGGAAGATAAACAAAGAAATAGGTTTGTATGGAACATAATAATTCAGCAGTTTCAAGTGATTGCTGTTTAAATATATGTATCAAAAGTAATTTCCTCTCCGTGAGCAGAAAATACTTATATCACTTAGATTTGAGGCAATCTTGGGGCTATTCTAAGATTTCAGTCCAGTTTCAATTATAAGCAACACTTTAATGTAAGACATGCATTACATATTGCAAAACCTCAGACTGTCTCTGTGCTCATTTATTACTTGCAATTGATTTTTCATCTCCCAATGACATTTCCCCACTTCTTTGTTTAGATCGTGTTCTCCATAACATGGTACTCATTTCAGTGAGTAATTATTCCTCCTTGCTTTTCTCTCCCTGTGGGTTGCGGAGCGTGAAACGACAGCACGTCAGCTCGTGTTCTGTGGAAAAAAACTAGGAGACACCTGTCTCAGGTAATAAGTCATTTTCTGTGTGCACTGCCCTCACAACTTCTACTTTTCATCCCTCTTGTTTCTAGGATCTCCACATAGGCATTCAATTGTCAACTTCTGTGACTCCATCATACCTTTGCAATACCTCTAACATTCTCCAGGCATGGTCATAGCAATGTAGAAACACTTGTTCCTACGGCTGTAATGGGTCCCAATCAAAATGGCCTTTTACTAGTAGACTTGGATAGACTTGAGTGGCTTTTTCTCCTTGCAGCCCACACTGGAATCATTAGGTGACTCACCACACAGGCACACTTCCCAGCAAAGCTCAGAATATCTAAGTGAGAGCACATCAAAATATGTAGTTGAAAAAAATACAGAAATTAACAATTTAATGGGCTGTAAAGGCTCAAGGACTGCATTCAACTGTGGGTCCCTATTTTGTTGTTTTGCTTTTTTCTCTCTCTCTTTGGAAATCAACAGAAATTATGTATTAAACCTATTAGTCACTTTGGACAGACTACCATTAGTGAGTTGTTCTCCCATGTTTATATCATCTGTCTATATGTGTCCATATTGAAAGCAATGGCAGAAGTGCAAGCTGATGGAAAGTGCATCTGGAGGAGTTTGATTTGAAACAGCAGTGGACAAACTGACTTTTTTATGTGCTGCCCCCCTGGGTGGGATCTTCTCTGGCAGCGGCAGGGGGGCAAGGAGGATGGAAGACTGAGCCAGGAAAAGAACAGAGGCTCTGAAAACCCATAGCCTTGGAAAGAGAGGCTAAAATACGTTCTTACAGAACGCCCGAGACAACCATCCATCAGAGAAGGGAAAGGATTTTCACTCAGATTCCACCAGCATTTCAACTGCTCCTTTGAGATTAGGTGAAAAGGAGACCCATATGATAAAGTCTGCCAGAATCATAAAGTTACAGATTCTCTCTTGTTCTGGATTGCAGACATACTTGGCTTTCTGCCTCAATCCACATGAGTGGCTGCGGGGGTGGTAGCTGTTACCAGAGAACCAGAGATGCAGAGAGAACTATTGACCCGTGTTTGATTAAGTCTTTGATAAAGAGCATTTTAAATAAATTAATCGTTATGTTCACATAAAGATTGATCTCAAAGATGATTGCTGATAAGATGATTGCCTGATATAATGGTCTAATGGTACCAAATATTGTCACAGTAATTACTAACAAGTGTTGTAATTACAAGTGTTTTTTTTTTTTTTCATTGGGACAATGCTAGCCTGCAGAGCCCTGGGCCACCCTCTGTGTTTCTGACAATGGAAAAAGACGATAAATTGCAGAGAAGCACAGCCTGTCTGAACACACACCAGAGAAAAACACTTTGCTCAGTTCAACACAGACAGGGACAGAGAGACACAGAGACAGACAGCAAGAGTGTGAGAGAGAGGGAGATTTCACGTGGCTCATCAATGAGGGGAAAAAGAAGGAAGGCTGTGAAAGAGAGAATGGAAACATTGCCACGTTGGCCCTCATCTATGACAACAGGGGAGAGTTATTACAGAAATTACATAAATATAAAATAAACTCACAAGCTTGATTTTAATATTCCTTCACACAGTCAAAACAGAAAATGAAATGCTCAGAGGTTGTTTGTCATGTACTGTAGCTTTTTTTAAAAAATGGCATAGCAGAGAGGAGGAAGATTTAAACATTCAAAAACAAACAGAGGAGTGAAATGACAGGAAGGTTGTGCACAGTTGGTGAACAGATGTTAGACCAGTTCATCATCCCATTGCTCTGCTACAATATGGGATGTACCAGAGGGAGGGAAAACATGAGTGACACCATCCGTGCTTGTGCTAATCCTAGAAAATCAACACCAACTCCTGTAAAACTAGAGCTCCAGTGTTACTTCATAGTTTTATAGTAAAGCCTCACATCGCAAATAAATTCTATTATATTGGGGTAGAATTTATGTATTTTCAGCCAACAACATTCAGTTGTACAAATGATCAGCCATATTAGCACAGGCAATTTTCTGGCCATGGATGCTGTGCTGCTGGCCATAGTAGCCAAACAGCTAGACTGGCACTTACAAATCTTCATCTTGCTAAAATATGACTGCGTTAATCCTAGTTAAGTGCATATTTGACTCAAAATTACAATACAATTTCAAATCATTCTTCACATTAATTTATCCTGAGCTTTTTCCCTTGACCAATGAAAGGTGTTTGTTTTGTTATTGTTTAAGAGGGATGACTGTCATCAGTGATCTATTATGGCCACATTTTAGACAAAGTGAAATGCTTAAGTTCAATGGAAATGCATTGGAAAATGATTTAGAAAAAAAACGTATTTCTAATACTAACATTTCTATTGCCACCTTTAGATATTTCTATTCAATGCTTTACATATGTGCCACAGTAATGAGTTAAAATAATAATAATAATTATTATTATTATTATTAATTATTATTAATAATCTTAAACATATTGACATTTGTGATTGTTGTGGATTCAATCAGCATTTCTGCCATCCCTTAAAGTCTCCATTCCACCACTAGTACCACTAGTGTTTTTTATATCTGTAGCCTATTTATTTCCTACTCAAATGTTGCTGTGACAAATTAATTTCCCCAATGTGCGATTAATAAAGTTATCTATCATGTACAGATGAATGACATGGGATGGTAATTTACCAGTGTAGTTTCCATTTGAAGGTTTGACATAGAAACACAAGAGCCTTGAAATAATTCTAACTATATAACTATAGATTTACATCTAATGATAATGGTAATTCTATAAATTAAAAAGAAAGAAAAACTATGAGGAGCATGCCTGCATCTATTATTCTTGGGGGAAAGTATGTAAAAAAAATGCAATATGCTCTTTTGCTCAGAACAAAATGACAAGGAGACCTGTTTCCTACAGAGAACAGGGAAATGTATAAACTGCTGCCATTTGCTTTGAATGCCTCCATCCCAGCATGCAGTGGGCAGTTTACTATATTCATCTGTAAACATAGACACAGTGTAAAAATGTAGAGCTTCTAGTTCAGTTGACCAGCATTTCTATTGACTGCACTCAAAGGAAAGCCACACAAGCAAATACCATGCAAACTCCCCAAGAAAAGGATGTTATTACAAACAGTGGACATTCTTGCTCTGTGGTGACAGTACAGTTAACTGTGCCTCCCTAAACCATTTAAAAAATGAAATAAGGAACATATTTCATCTGGGCTTTAAAAATATTGCCATCAGACCTAAATTTGAAAACATATCATCCACAGCTTCTTCATCCGGCATGACTTGTTGCTCTATTGAGACGATCTGAATAAGCCAATGTTTGCCTGATGAATGCCATCCAAGGTAAAAGACCATTTCAATGCCAGGAAAACTAATGTTTTTGGAAAGGAAAAACACACAGTTTATCCCTAAGGAGAAAAATCTATTGGATCTTATCAGTGGGCAGTTGTGAGAGGCAGAGATAAGAGAGCCGCAGGGAGAGAAATTGGCTGCCGAGCTCAGACAGCAGACCATGCATGCTCCATGGGCCATTGAGCAACTGGGGGGTGTATTCTTCTCAATATGCTTTGGATATAATTCCTCGGCCGTATATGCACATGGGCATATGATTGTGTGAGAATGTGGCTGATTGTGCAAAATTGTGTGTGCACCAGTGTTACACTGTGAGAATGAAGCTGATCCTCTGTGTGTGTGTGTGTGTGTGTGTGTGTGTGTGTGTGTGTGTGTGTGTGTGTGTGTGTGTGTGTGTGTGTGTGTGTGTGTGCGTGCATGCGTGCGTGTGTGTGTCCAGTGTGCGTCTGGGTGTGAAAAACCATCCCTCTTCTGATACATCTAGGTTCCATTTGCAGTCTGTATACCAGTGAGTGAAACCCCATTATCAGACTGAAGCGGGGCCTTCTCGCTCCAGACTGCTGAACCATAATGAGCTGCTCACAGCAGCCAACTTGTCTACCCAAATAAATCACTCTACCCCACACGTGCACGCACATACACACGCACGCATATCTCTATTAGACCTGTTCTGGATGCACACATATCTCCATTAAACCCTGACACTCATAGCCCAGTGACCACAGAGGACACCAACCAAAAAGATGAGGATTCTCTTTCCTTACAGCAACACAGAGGGACCAGCCTCTCTCACAATTTCCAGGGTATCTAATCTGATAAATGTCTGCTAAGTCTTGATAACAGGTTGCAACCAGTCCTCCTTTACATACTCTGCCTCAATTACTGGTTTGTTAGAGACACCTAGGTAAAACAAATGCAGTCTAAAACAATAGCCTTGCAATAAATCCTACCTCTGGGAGAGCTATAATCTGAGTCTTTGGTGAAACTGTTAGGTGTTAACTTAAAGGTATGGTCATTTTAGAGGCTTTTTGTGGTGCACATGAATTGTGAATTGTGCTGTGGGGGATTGGCGCAATAAGCTTTAAACACAACATTGACATATTACAATATTACCTTACAAAGCTGAATTTGTAATTAGCAAACAGTGGCTTGCCTACACATTGAGAAGAAACGTAGTAACATTAGCGTTCATTTAGAGCCATGTTCTGGTCACCTGATGAATCAAAACAATGCTGATGTGAAGTGAGGGTGAGGGTAGACCACAGTAAAGTTGCAGGCCGTAAAACAAATAATGAGTTAAAAGACACTGTAAAGGTCCATAGAGCTGATGGGTCTGCAAGGTCAGATGATAACTCTTTGTGGCTTTGTCACCCCAAGCTATTCCTTTCACATTACATGCAGTCATTTGATTCATTGTTACTATAAAAATATTGATCATGGCAGCTTCAACAACAGAGCACCATAACTGCCTCTAAAAATGACCATAAAGTTCCATCAATCTAAACTATTTTCAGCTGAAAACGTAGAATCATGAAGGTAAGATTTATTGCAGAGCTGTTTATTGATGCAGTAGTTTTAACTAGGTGTTCCTAATAAATTAGCAACTAAGTGTAAAATCCATATCACTTTTCCCTTTTTGATGATGTTCAGCATGCTCAGTAAACTTTGTAAAGTTAAGTAAAACAATTAACCAACCACATTCCTTATTCTTTCCATAAAAATAAGACTATGAATTCTGCATTCATCTTAGAAAATGAATGTGCAAAGTGGAGAGTATCTCATGAAGCAACTTGTTCTTGAGTGTGGATGCACTCTCAAGTGTTCTTCTTCTAAGAGCTTGTGAAAATTTCAGGCAACAGGCTTAGTTCAAAGCTGTGCCTCCAAACAACAGCTAATGCCTTGGTAACGTACGCAAACCAACCAGCTGTCTATTACCAATGAAACCCTTTGAAGTGCTGCCAAGGTGGTGTGGGCTCTCAAACACACAGTACAGCACCCCTCTGATTTGGCAAGAAAGAAAGAGACACAGGCGAAACCAAAATACTCTAAATCCATTTCAAGTCTGTGAAGTAAATGTTTCTTTATTTGAAATCATATCAAGGCATTTATGGGATATTAAAAGCCTAAACAAATCTTGTATTCTTCCTAGCACCTGGCTAAAATAGAAATAGATGCCTCTCTGGTGTGAGCCTACAGTGAGGAGCTCTGCTACATCGCTTACTGACCTATCACTAACAACCATAGCCAAGTAGTAAAATATGTGGAGCCATGTGCCTGTACACTCCTCTTCACCTGGACAATCAAACTTTTATTAGACAATATGGCAATAAAACAGTGTTATCACATATCTTCCTATAACTCAAAACCATCTGGCTGTATTATGTGTCAATGCATATATCATATACGCACCATTGCAAGTTTTCCCATTATGTGTAGCACAGACCCAGTCGTGGCACTCGCAGCGAGGACCGTAGAACTTCCCCGGATCTGTGGCCTCGCAGAAGCAGATGCCGCAGTCACACTTGCCCCTCCCACTGCAGATCTTGCCATCAGGTGTCCTGCAGCGGCGCAGGGACGACTCTGTGGACAGCTTACACACACCACCCACCTGGCTGGGGGAAAAAAAAAGAAGGTCAGTTGTTATGCAGCTTTGGAAACTTCTGAGGTGAAGGATCAAGTGTGCTGCCACCTGTGTCTGTTTAAAATACCACATGTGAAGGAAAATACCTTTGCTGAGACATGGTGCAGATATGTCTACCTTCATACATTCAAGATGTTTACTATTTATAGCATTTATAGTTTGAACGCACATATTCAAAAAGAAACCCATTCATTTTTTTCTCCTGTGAACACGTATAGTTTAATATTGTTAAGCTATCATTCACATACAAATCTGAGCAGAAAATAAAATGTTATTTCAACTTGCCCTTTTTCCTGAAATGAAGAATAATGGAAAGAATGTAACTTCTCAGAGCACAGCCAGCTTGTTTGGGTCAATATCAGGAAAGGACAAACATTTGGGAATTACAAAATAACAAAATATGAAGGATTAAGCTAATAAATCAAACAAATCAAACAGCATACTTTCATTGAGCATGCTCCAGCAGCTGTTGCTGAGCTGTGTTCTGACACTGTGGGATCTCACTGTGATATGTGTTTCATTTGGATGCTGCCTGACATTCTTTTTCTATTCCTGCCCTCCCCGAACGGTTCAGTTTGGAAACAGTAGACATATTTCAAACAATCAACAGATCAAGTGTTCCTGATACTCCCTTTAAAATGAAATATAGAATGTGTGTGCTCCATGTGTCATTAGGGGGTTTTACATTTCACACAGGCCTCACCCAACGATGGCCTTTTTAAGACTCCTGGCCCTTTCCTTTGACAATCCTTGGTTCGCTCACTCACTCACTACTCCCTATATACAGTAGTTTACTCTTTAGTGAACAGATTTCACACACTTAATAATCCTCATTTTGCATCATCTCTGCCGGGTCTCATCCGTGAAATGTGGAGCATTGCATTGTGGGATTGTTAGTAGAAAGTAGTATACATGTCATGGACACTACTACTACTTTTTTCTTTCCATTGTGAGGGCACTATGTAGTGGATAGACTTTCACTCTCAGAAATTCAGACACTCAAATAAAATAGTGGACAATAAATATAGTTCACTGTGTAGTAAACAGAGTGATTACAGACATAACCTCTGTCTCTGCCATCCACTATTTCATTCTGCCACATCCTGCTCTAGCCTCAGCTCATGTCAACTGATCTTCATCAGGATTGCTAAATCTGCTGTGAGCTTGTACTGCTGCTGTCAGGGTTGTCTAGTCTGCAGGGTACTTCTCTTGATTTAGCCTCAGCATGGGACTTAGTCATGATGGGGTAGGGTGGCGTTCTGCCTTCCTCCACATCATAGGGAATCTCCTCTGCTTTTGGCTAATGGCTTTTTTTCTTGGTTAAGCTAAGAAAGTGGGGCATGTTAACCACCAATGTCAGAAAACAATTTCATCTGAATTTAAATGGGTGTGTTCTGCACCCATATCTGACACCTTTGTTTCAGCAAGACATTTCTTCATAATCAAAATATTGACTGCAGGGGGTAAGGCAACGTTGTGCGGCTTAGTCCCTCAGTGAGTCCTTCCTGTTGGGCTCACGATTTTGTCATTGCCATTTTATCCCATGCACTGAGAAGAGTTCCATCAAACTGTAGCTGCTGTTGTAACGTTACAACAGATGTTCTTTTACAGTGCAGCTCAATGCATTTTTCCATCTGTCGCTTGGAAAAGAAGAAGAAATTGCATAGTTTGGGTCTACCATGTGTGCTCCAGCATGTGATATCAAACATATAACCTCTGTGAAAATGCACATAGCAGACACTCTACATATTAATGCCACGCTGTAGAGGGCTGGATCGGAATTGGGATCCAACAAAAAATGTCGAGGGGCCTAATATATATTTAGCCTAGTTTAGGTGGAGGTATCATCATCAGTGGATCAAATATGAAAATATGAATCGATCAATGGACTTATCCACAATACATGTGGTCAATTCTAGTTAACCCAATGCCTTATTGTAAAGATAGTTCAAGAGGTCGAAGAAAGGAGGATTTATTTGTAAACAACCTAATATCATGTGAGTGACTTCAAGAACTTCTCATAAAATAAAAAAAGAATTTATAGGCTACATACGTAGCTATGCATTGTTTTACAGCTTTTGTTTTTCCAGATGAATGCTCTCTGGTTCTGTAATTTAAACTGTGACTTCTACACCAAAAAGTACAGGTGGAGCCCTACAACCTTATTCCCGACTCTCTAGGAAGCTGGATGATTGGATGGAGTGTACATGGAATAGCACTCCCTCAGTGGCCAGACCTTAAGAGCCTGCCAGAGGGCTTCGTCTGTGTTCTTACAACTGATGTTGCAAAACATAACCCTCATTATTGAGTGTTCAAGTTGTTATGATGACATAGCTTGTAAAAAACCATGGTAGATATTATTTGAATATACATCATTAAAACAGAGGAAAACACTGTAATCACCTGGATTCTTAGGAGCTGTTGCTTTCTGTGGTAAAACAGGCATGGATTTGATATTGGTGTCCAATAAATGTACTGTAACTATAATATATATGTATATGTATAAGGACACAGTCACGGTGCACCTGCTTGAAGCAAACACCTCTCTGCAGCTGAGTCATATGGCAACATTTACAGTACTGCTGACTGAGGTTTTCCTGGTAAAGGCCAAGGTAAACAGAAATCAACCTTTCATGCACATATTTTCTTCCTTCCTTCATTCTTTCCATTTTCGCACTTGATTCTAATTAAATGTGATATTTAAAAAAATAAATAAAGTTTTAATGCAAAAGTTAAATAATCCTGATTTTAATAAAAAGTTGTGTTTTGTGGATTTTCCTCCTTTTTTCCCCGTTTTGTTTGTGGCTACAAATGATTGCTCAGTAAAAGCTTTTGAAAGACATAACCATCGCAGCAGCCAAAATGTCAAGCCAAGCTTCTTTTGCACCAAACCCACAACCATGAAAGCTGTCATAACATTGTTATGTTAATTCACGTCAGCTGAGGTGTCTAAATGAAAATAAATGAATGTTTTTTTAGTTTTAAAAAAGTGCTATATGCAAACGGTAATAATGGAAACACAGAAGCAGACTTTTTCCCCGTGACTTGGCATGCAGAGTTATTGGCAAGTGAGGCAGCATAAAAAAAATGCACAAAATAACTGCAAACTGTATGTATAGGCACTCCTTAAAACTTTTCAACATTTTACTCTCAAAATGCTGTCTTTGTCAGCAAAACTCTGCACCTCCCTCTTCCTTCTTGCTCTCTAGACTACCCCAAAATAAACACGAAAAAAACAAAGCTGTGTGGAAACTCACCTCACCGATTGTAACAAAGTGTCCTCCACGGTAGAGAGCAGAATCAGAAACAACGGCACTAACATGGACTGTACCAAAACCTCAGTTTGCATGTTTAAATCCCACAGAAACCTGAAGTAAAGTAGCTTGAAGGAATTTCCCAATCTTTCTTTCCTTAAACAGACAGGACAGGAAGAGAAAGAGAGAGAGAGAGAGGGGAAAAAGAAAAGGAGAGAAGGAGAGAAGGAGCAGCAGGCTGGCCTGAACTGGCTCAATCCCTTCAGAGGCCAACAGTCCTCTCCATACAAGTGCCTTTGATTAGTCTTGACTCTCAGACACAGTCCTGGGCAGGAGCTGGAATGGGGAAAACTGCCAAAATGAAAAGTTAAGTCACCAGTTTGAGATGTAATTAGAAGCAGACTGGGATTTTTTTATGTTTTGTTTTACTTTTCCCCTCTTTCTTTTCCAGATGATCGCTCTATTGTGTCCTTTTGATGTTGTTAATTATAAATGAGAGCCAAAATAATTTTTCTCTGAAGACGTTTGACATGTCAGAATAGGAAAGGTGTGAAAAATCAGATAAATGATGGCTGAATTCTACTTAGCTGCTTCAGTTTTAGGTTTCCTGAAGGGTCCAATGCTGTCACAGTCATGGCTTACCGGGCCAATGTTATCAGTATTAATAACACCTATGCTTTTCCTACATGTCACAATTGAGAATAAAGTGTGCTCAAAACAGTAGCCCACTGCAGAGATGATGACACACACTTTGATTGTGATCTGAAAGAACTAATGTAATTTCAAGCAGAGTGTAATGCAAAGATATTTTCTTGGTAAGTCACAGAAATGTTCCATTAAGTGACAAGACACTACCATCCAATCTGGATCAGAGTCAGAGGAGTAACATGTAACATATTTGCTCTTGCCCATAAACAATGAATTAGGCATTGCATAAACTGAAGCAGCACTGAAGTTGTGCCTTTTTTCACAGCAGATATTTTGACATTGTAGCACAACAAGTGTAATGAACAACATTAAAGATGACTGCATTCTGTTAAATTTTGCTGTCTCCAAGGACACAGTGTTGTGAATAGACTAATGGCTCACTGGTCTTCCTTAGTGGTGTTAGTTCCACCTTCTACGACATATCCAGATGTCTGCTGAAAGACCTGTTAACTGATTGACATCACCTGCTTCGCTCACACTTCTTATCACTGCGCTGATAACCGCATGCCCTCGACTACCCCAACATCCTCATAATGTGCTGAGGTTTAGTGTTTATGTATGTGTTTGTTAAGGGGGGGATTACTTCCCCCAGCATAATCCTCGTTGCTGTTGTTTGGGCTATTCAGAATATAATCAAAGAGCAGAGGCAAAATTCAACAGTATAACCACTGGCTAAAAATGGTCAGTCCTCGAGCCAAGTGCTTCAGACTGAATTAGAGTATTTGTCAGCATTGTAATTAATGAAACCAAGTGTAAATTCTTGAATTTGGTTGTATTTTATTTAATTATTTCTAATGATTACACTAGTAAAGTGCTCCTGGGAAGGCTGAGTTCATCGACATGTTCAAATAACAATAAGTAAACACTGCATAATGAGGGAAACTTTTGTCTTGCCTTCACTGAAAATTTTGCAGTTACTAAATCATTTAAATTAACAGGGCAATTTTCATCCAGTATTCCAACATAGCGGTGCATTTCTAACAGGAGGAATTGCAGGTGTGAATGCTGGATGTTGAAAGGCTGATGATAAACTGCATCTCTGGTTTTAAAATGTATGAAAGATGTGGAATATTTTAAGGTTCATTGAAAAGCTGACACTGAACTGAATTGCTGACTTTAATTTGTATGAAAAAGCAACTGAAGGAATAATGGCTCAGAGCTAAACTGTATTGCTGCTGGTTTTATTTCATACAGTAGTACGCTGTTTGTGCAGCATTTCTTTAATAAAGAAATCTAACATGCAGTTTCCTTTACTGGATTTGTAAACAATAAATACATTTGATTTCACCCAACCATTTTTATTTATGAATAGTAATAAGTAAAGAGTTTCTTTAAAATTTAGAGTTTTCTAGTCTATAGCTACCTAAAAGAAATGTTAGGTTGGTTTATGGTCCACGGAGCAATGTAGTGGGAAGGAGTGTCAGTATGGAAAAAGAAGAGCTGATCCAGAGTCTGGAATATCTTCAAAGATCCGGTGTCAAAGTGACTTTCATATGACAGACCGACAGACCCAGGTTCAAAAGTTTACCAGGGAACAGAAACCAGACATTTACCTCATTTGTGATGATGTGTGGCATTTATGTGACGAAACAATAAGTTGGAAATGTATATTATTTTAATCCTGTGTAACATTAACACCCACTGAAGAAATAGTAATAATAATGATAATCTCTCCAGCTTTCACTATATCTATATATCGATTTTCAACTTAACCTCCAAGCTAGGCAGCATTTAAACTACCTGATACAAGCTCAGTCATGTTCACTACACACAGCAGACTGAAGTGGCTCTTTCAACATGCACCTTTCATCCCACAGGGACTCTACACTGCTCTGAGTTGACCTGGCAGCACTGTAGTCAGCTCAACAATTTATCTAAAATTTAATCAAAAACTTTTTCTTTTACCTAGCAAACTGAAATTGCGCTTCTTTACAGATTAATACTCATGATTTATGACTTTGAAGGCGATGAGCCTATAAGAGAGAAAAAGGTCTAATAAAAATAATAAAAGCTTTTTTCCCAGTAAATATTGTAACTACTTTTTCATATAACGGAGGTGGTAGTCTGCCATGATTTATCGTCACAGCACTAAACCATCACCTTCGACTGTTACCATGGAGACGGCTGCGCGCCTCCGCTGCATGAGCTGGTGCTGTTGATGTGATTGCAACCTGCGCGCTCCCGCACTCTCCCACACGATCCCTACTACACACACACCCGGAAAACAGCTGATGTATTGGACAGGACGAGACACGGCAGATAAGGGAAATCCTCCTCTCGTAAGTGATTCAGTATGTTTTCTTAATGTGCTACAACACTCGTCGTGTATGTAACTGGACATCCAGCTGCCATGCTTTAAGGATGCACCTGACGCTTGGTGCTGCTGCGGGCTAGCTTGCCGCTTCTCCAGGAAGTGGAGAAATGAGCATCCTCCGGAGTAGGCCATGGTCAAATATTGTCGTGTATTTGCTTCACTATCACGTGGCCAAGTTGTCATGTATCGTATTAACTTCGTGTAGGACCTAAGCTTGCCCACATTTTTTGTTTACATGCTACGTTTAGCTTGTTTTTGCCCAATGTAGCACCTTAGCTCCCCATCCGTTTCCATAGTAACCTTGGCTGGCTCCGCGGATGTCATTCATTCAGCTTTCGGTCTCGGTATGGATATGCATTTCTTGATTGACATCCGCTCGGGTGACAGCCATTTTACACGACGTGCGGTCGGTCGTATGCCGCAGGCAGCTTGTGGTGTGCTCTTAAGGAGGATGAGCAGTTTCACTAAATGATTGTAGGTCTTAAACAATCGCCCACTGAAGCCTGCGAGGCCATAGTGTGTCAGCCATAGTGGGGCCTTCACATGTATGTTGCATGACCCACGGTTAGTTTGTAACAATAACCCAGATAGAATATGCCCATACATAATACATCATTTAGACAATCTTTATGAAATTTGCCAGCAGCATTGACAGCTGACCACTCTTTAAAGTACTGCACACATAGATAACATTCTAACATGCAAATGAAAGAAGTATTTTAGATAAGATCCCCCATATATAAGATCCCCTCTAGACATGTATTAAGACATAAAGCTATACAAATAGTCTGCTTGGACGTTATTTTTTTCCCACTACTTTTCTACTCCTACCTCATTAACAATTTCAGAATCTATGAATAAGATGTTTCCTACTTCACTGTAATGTCCATTATCAGTGTATGCACACTGGCAGCTTCAAGTTTCTACATCACACTTGTATAAGTTGCAAACTGGACCAGGCTTGACTTCCAGACTATTTGTGATGTCACAAATCATGCTCGTAGGCCCCGTCCGTAAAATCAGATTTCAGATTTCACTTTCCATTTTAGCTGATCATTGTGAAAACATTCTTCAAGCAGCTGATTGTTTTGGTTTTGTGGCCCACAGCTTCACTGTTGTAGTTCACTCTCACTGTTTTCCTTCGGGTTATTTTCAGATGCAGCTGCTTTCAGCCAAAAAGCTCCGACAAACCCACTGTTTGCTTCCTGCTCAGCACCAAACGGCAAAGTTTGCTCTAAATAACATCATTGACATACTGTACATATTGTCACCTAATTATACAGTCCATGATTATCACATTATAAAGTTCATATTGAATGTGTGCCGAATGTCAAGCAAACATGGAGCGATGTTAGCATTCATGTGGAGTTGTAGCCACCTCATGAATATAAACCAAATATTCATTCTCCTTTTAGCTCTGTCTCCACCAACCACTGAAGGAAATATCTTCATATGTGGCTGTTTAGCTCCTAAATGCCAGCTAGTTGCTGACTGTTTTCGGCAGGTAGTGTACAGTGGGTTTATCAGGGCGTTTTTCACAGTGTGGCACTGTACGTATTACACTTAATTATTTAAATCATTCTTCATGTAAAATATTGATAAGTGCAGCTTCAAATCAAATCAAATCAAACATAGAAATGAAAAGGGAGGTGAATGTTAATGTGGCCACTGTATGCCCACCTCCTCAGGAGCTGTATGAGTGCACCATTACCTTGGAAATGTCTTGATTCTCACCATAAATCTGAGACCAGTTTGTAGAAACACCTAAATTCCACTCTAGGCTATGGTAGAGAATTAAAGTGTAAAAATGTTCTGCCCACTTCGACCAAACTTTTTCCTGTCTGTTGTAATTAACATGATACTGTCAGAGTGCACCCTTCAAGAATAAAACTTCAGCAAAGAAAGTTTGCAGACTCCGACAAATACTCACAGTTACAATTAATCTGCCCAGTGATCGCATCCTGCCCGTGAGGAACATGTCCTCTCTCCAAATGGGAAAGTAATTGCAGTCTTTGCCACCTATACTCCCACATAATAGCACTTAGACCCTGTAATTTTGTTTTCACTCTTCCTCACGTCTCCATCTGCATATGTTAAGTGTAGCAATTACACTGGGAAATTGCTTCTAACTACATGGGGTTTATAGGATGGACAGTTTCTTTTCTTGGTAAGAGCATAAAAGGAAACAAGGGTGATACAGTTGCATTGTTCTATCTGCATCCTCATCCTAACTAAGTGTTTTTGATCTCATGCTTGGATTTTGAGTCTCTTT